TTCGATGACGCAGGTGATGTACCCGGATGTAGCGATCCTGCGCCGCAGTGGTCGCTCGAGGTCGCCCACTACGAGGGGCATCTGCTACCGCATTCTGCCGGCGATATCTCACCCGGAGCCGTGAAATGGTGCTTTGGTGAACATTCATGCGTCAGGCAACTGCACGTTGAGACTGGCCAGCTTCAAGCAAACCAATGCCGATATGACGGTTGGCTTCACTTAGACGTGGCATTCGTGTTATCCAACACATGCATTGAAGCTTTTTCACTGTCGTTCACTGTTCATGTACTGTTGGAAATCGCAGCTTAAAATGAGACGTTTTGACACTTGGTGAAAGATGTCAGGCTATAGGCTTTTTGGAATCTGGTCAACCTCAGCAGCAGGTTGCTGCCCGCTTTAATGTGAGTCAGAGTGCTATTGGTAGACGGTGGCAGAGATGTCAAGCCAATGGGTCCTTGGAGTATGCACGTCGACCAGTGGCGTCGCCAGAGAGTCACAACAGTCCGAGATGATAGGCACATGATAACGTTCTTTTGCTTCAGTTGCAACCGCACTATGGAACTCACTTCCACTTAAATTACGTACAGCTCCATCCCTTCAAGTGTTCAAGCGTAACCTCAAAACATACCTTTTCAGTCGATATAAACAGTAACTCTCTCAAGCTCATATTTACTACAATACTGATTCATGTGACTTTTTGATGTGTTTGTTTTTAAACATTTGTGCGCGCTTTGAGCATGCCCCTTTGTGGTATGGAGTATTGCGCAGTATAAGTACCCTTATTATTATTATTATTATTAACAATGCGTTACGTAACAGATTCCTTAACGCAGCAGATCTTCAAACAGAACACTTCAATGTTAACAATGTATCCAGGAGCACCGTTCGTAGACGTTTAAGGGCAGCCGGACTGTAACACCACTAACACCACGTCACAGGCAAGCGCGTTTGAGATGGAGTAGACATGGCCGCTGGAATCAACGTCAATGGTCTTGTGTGCTCTTCACAGATGAAAGCAGATTCGATTTGTCCTCCCATGATAGTTGGCAGAGGATTTATCGTCGCAATGGAGAGCGAATCACAGATGCAACTGTGGCCACGCATAACCGATTTGGCAGGGGGTCGGTCATGGTTTAGTCCTACTGGACGTAGGAGGCTACTCCACTGCACGTGGTGGACGGCAAACTTACCGGACAGCGAACTGGCTCCTATAACAGTACCATTCCTGCAAACTACCCATGGCTTTTATGGTCGACCCTCCTTACGCAAGCCCTCATAGGGCCAGGATTGTCACGGAATTCCTTAGGCAGCAGGGTGCAGAGCGGATAGAATGGCCAGCATGCTCGCCAGACCTCAACCCAATTGAGCACACCTGTGATGAACTCGGTCGACGTGTGTACACACGTCACCAAGCACCAGTGGATCTCCCAGGACTCCGCAGAGCTCTAGTAGAGGAATGGAATGCGATTTCGCAAGCTTTCTCTATGAACTTGATAAGGAGTATGAGAACAAGGTGCACCTGTGTCTTGGACGCTCGAGGAGGGTACACAAGATCTTTGTCATTTTCATTTTCGGGGGTTGGTTTATACAACTGAAGTTTGCTAGATCTGTTTGAACTTTTTGTCTGTATGCCACGATGTGTCACGTTTGGCAACACATTAAACATTATGATGACACTCTTAGTTCTATTATTTCTGAGAAACCTTTGTGTTCATGTGCTTAATATCATTTCACTCTTTATTAATGACGCCTAGTATACATTTGACGCTGAGCACAGGTGGCCCAGTCTTCTCAGATGCCGAAATTCATTGGACAGAGTTGCTTCCCTTATGCCCATATTCCACACAGACCACGAATCGCCACGATTTGACATATTTGAGGATTCGTAGTTGAATCGTAATCAGTTCGTGAAGTTCTTAAATAATTCGTATATACTCGTAGTCAGTTCTTGCAATTCTTGAGCAATCGGGAATTCGTGGCAAAAGTTTTGGAACTGTTCAAAATTTTGGCCACGAACTCCCGATCTAAAAATATCGTAGTTACTTCGTAACAAATTCGTAGTCCATTCTTAGGCATCGTAACTGAATCGTAATCGATTCTCAGGCAGTTGTAGGTATTCTTAACTGATTCGTGGATTCGTCAACTTGTGACTTGACCACGAATCGGCTACGAATCTGTCACGAATTCCACAAATACACGCCAAAGCAGGTACGAAGCGCAGAACTATCTACGAATCACCTACGATTGGCGGCAAATTGATTGGGTATATAAGGAGTTTAACACTGACGTCAGGCCATTAGCTGCTGACGATTGTGCAACGAAATCCACGAATCAGCAAGATGCCTAGAAGAGCTGTAGGCAAAGACAAGGGGAGAGGGAAGAGAAGCAACAGAAATAAGGAAGAGGGAGAAAAAGGCAGCAAAACTTCCAACCCACCCCTCCAACTTCCAAAGAGTAACTACCCCTCCACCTGCAGATGAACCAGCTCCAGAAGTGGTTTAACATGTGGCTGGTGATGTTGCTTCTTCCCAGTCCAAGAGCAAGAAGACCAGGGTCTTGTCCAACCTCACAGTAAACGAACAAGAGGATGTGACCCTCTTCCTTGAGAGGAATGACTACAACAAGAGGCGGTTAGACCACCTCTGTGTCTCTAAAAAGAATAAGGCGCGGGACGATCTCTCCCATTATATGGGAAAGGAGGTGACGGCACTGACTACGTCTTTTGAGAGCCTCCATTCCCAGACAGGGAAACTCAGGAGGAAGAACAGCTGTGGAGATGACAACCGCCAACGGTGGACATGGACCAGATTCCAGGTCCTGGTGCCCCACGTCGGACATGTCACCCACCGCAGTCCAGAGCTTCCGGAGAAGCGCCAACACGAGCCAGGGTGAGGAGTTCCGGAGAGAGGAGCCTTAGTGTCCAGTGACCACCACACCGTCCACAACCACTCCCGGGAGCTCGTCTGTGACGGTGTATGGCACCAGGGGCACCAGGGGGGGTAGAGTGATGGGGGTCGAAACCCTATACCATGAGCTGCCCACCTACAAGGACCACCAGGAATAGCTGTTACAGATTCTCCAAGATCCTGCTGTGCCTGAAATACTCCACCCAGAGAAGTTAAATTTCACCGAGTACCACGGGCATGCTTCCAGAAAGTGCCTGAGTTGTGTGGTTTCCAGATGGCTATGTGCTTGCCATTGAAGCCCCCCTGGGCATGAGGAACATTCCACCGATATTGGAACTGCTGGACAATGGCCTTTCAGTCCTCCTGGGTCTGGGGCAGTGGCATGACTTCATCCTTCAGTTACTGTATGATGGCCTTAAAGACTTCCTGCACAATCCATACCACTGTGCTGAAACCACATCGGAAGTCATACTGGGTAGTGTGACACCGGTCTCCTGTAGCTAGGTATCTGAAGACTGGTTTCACGTGGGTGTCCCTTCTGGATGACTGGGCTAATCCCTTTGAGTAGCTCATCAAATATGTGGAATGGCATTCTCACATAATTGGCAAAGGCATTTTCATCTTCCCCCCTCATTTCCTGCATCAGTCAGTTGTAGTTACCATGTTCTTGCCTTCTACCTGGTGTCAGCCACGGCCTAACCCACCACCTGGGTGCTCTTCTCCTCCTTCTTCGAAGCAGACTTCTTCAAGCGATCAGCAGCTGGTGTTTATACTCCAGTTTGGAACTGATACCCAAACATAGGTTACTGATTCCTAACGTTCGTGCAGTACTCGTAATTGATTCTAGTAAATCGTTGTGAATTCTTGACAATATCCGTGCGATTCCAGCCGAATCCCACGAATATTCGTACCTCTATCGTAACTGAATCGTAGAGCTTCCCGAATTGAGCTAGAACATTTGCACATTTCCACGAATTCTCACGAATCCTCAAATTTATCAATTCATGGCGATTCGTGGGATTCGTGGTCTTTGTGGAATAGGGGCATTATGCTGCGTTTACACTAGACCACGATTAGACCACGATGGCCACGATTCGGATTTTTTTTTAAAATCGTAACTCATCTTATAAAGCGTGAGAGATCGCAGATCCAAATCGTTGTGATCGCAAGAGATCTCCATGATCGTGAGCCATCTTGATAATCGTGGCAAAATATTAAATATGTTTAATATTTTACCATGATCATGCCGATAGTATCTCGATCTAATACGATTCAATGCATTTCTATGTACTTTTTAACACGCGGGGTGTACTACGAATAACGTCCACGATCTATCACTATCTGAACGTTTCCTTGTGCTGGACAGTTGGGGTAGCCTAGTGGTTAAAGCGTTGGCTCGTCACGCCGCAGACCCGGGTTCGATTCCCCACATGGGTACAATTTGTGAAGCCCATTTCTGGTGTCCCCCGCCGTGATATTGCTGGAATATTGCTTAAAAACGGCGTAAAACCATATTCAGTCAGTCAGTCAGCCGTTCATAATTTATGGCTAGGGGGTGATGGTTTTAAGGGGGGGTCACCCATTTTGTTCTGGGGAGGTAGGGGGGTTCAGCAATTTTGTACACATGTTTTTAGGGGGTCATCAATTTTGTACATAAAATATTTTAAAATCATGCTTTAAATATATGGGAAGGGGGGTCCATTGACTTTGTACATAACATGGGGGCACTTACTTTGTCCATAAATTTTAGGGGGTCATTCACACTGTACATGCTTCTCCATAAAAATCATCATCACCCCACCTAGCCATAAATTATGAACGGTCCCTTATATATTATGTTGTATGCGCTTTGAGCATGCCCGTGCGGCGTGGGCGAAGATATCGATTGAAGCGTACTTAATATGGACCTAATTTCTGCGCTGTATTTGTTTTGGTCGTTGCGTTAAAGAATTACTAAAATTAAGTTTTATTTTGTGTTTAGTTTCTGTTCTACTGCATAACAACTGAATCTGGCTTTTGAAACCGTGTGTGTTTGTGTGTTTGTGTGTGGCTGGCCAATACATGGTTTGTGGTGATTATCTCCCTTGAAAGAAGGGAGGTAAACAAGTTCGAAACCGTTGAAGTAGAGAAGTCAGAAGAAGAGTTGATACGCAAGCCAGGACAAAATATCTTTTTTAAAATGTCGTTCAAGGTTATTAATGTTTTACCACTCTAGGGGTTAATAATTACTTATATATTTTATTTCGTTTCTTTTGGTCGGTTAACGTGTTATGAATGATACATGGGAATAAGTTATGAAAACTTTGTCGGTCGCGGCAAATTTGATTCAATTCCAACTTCAAGCACTACGACTTTGCCCTTTGTTGTTTTCCAGTTTAAAATGTATGATATAATTGCGTATGATCAGCAGTTAATGGTTGCTCTAAATACCATCCATCACACCATAAGGTCACTTGGCAATGCAGTCATGAGTCATGATGTGTCTAGTTTCATAAGATAGGCTATTTAGGCTATTATTATAAGGTGGTGTATAACTCAAGGAAGTCAAATGAGACATATTCAATGTAAGTGTAGCACATATATCACATGACTGTAGTACCAGTTGCACATGATAAGTAAATTAATCTGTATTGCCGTATTGCTAGAGACTCCGATCACAATCTCTACTGGTAGAATCTCCAATTCTACCAGATCGCAATCTCTACCCTAACATATACTAATTATATTGCTAGGGATTATTTGTTGGTATGCTCATGCCTACTAATACTATCTACCGCTACCATTAAGTTTCATAGTGGTAACTCTAACTTTATTTTATTTTTCAGCCATGTTTGGGAGACACGTGGGCCGAGAACACATTAGAGCGAGCTTCAAGGGTAGGGCAGGAAGTGCTAGAAAGAACCAGGGCAAGGAAGGTGGAGTGGCCATCACACAAGCAGTATGGAAACAACCCTGTACAGGTGAGGGGGAAACGGGGTTTCTGTGTAGATCCTCTGTTGGCCATGCTTGACAAGTGTCCCTATCCTGATGGCAATTGTTGTTGTAATCAGTACCATGTTTACTGTGCCCTGTGTGGATAAGTTGTGTCAGGAGCTGTTTCCAGGAATGTATGATGTTCACAGAAATACGTACAAAAAATCATTCTACTTACTTTGAATTTGGCATTCAAATATTTTACCTTTTCATCATATACGCAAAGAGGTTCACAGGTTCAGGGTTTTACGGGACGCATGATTCCTGCATATTGGACTCAATTTGATGATGTACCCCTAAACTAAAATCATGTGCGTCCATGTGGAAGCAATATAATTTTCTTCTGGGAAAGAACTTCATGAATTTGTAATGATATCCCATATTAAAATGTAAACATTCTGTTTACAATCACTATTCTAATGACATTGAAACTAACACATATTAAAGCATAATCATTATGAAATGGGAAGCATCCATGATCATTGATTTGATGCAAATTGATGGACTCCCAATTTTGGAAATGGACTCTCAAAAAATATGCCCCGAGTCCCCAGGACTCCCAGTTTTGAAGAGCTATGTAAAACCCTGCAGGTTTGCTTGTGAAGTACCTTCTCATTAAAATCATCATGTGACATGGTTGTTAACAGAGTAGTGTTTCCTGAAACCTGTGATCTTAGGTTCAATTCCAAGTTCATGTTATAAGGATTGTCAGTACAATACTGAATTGATCCAACTGATCCAAGACTTGCAATACTTTGATCATTCCTCAAACATCTAGATGGCATGCCCCGATATAACCTTCTTGTGTCTCACAGGACCCACATGTACACACATCACTGGATGATGCCCTGGCCAGTATACTGCACTACATGTCTGTGACAACCAAGAACTGCAAGGTGAGCTCCAACATAGAAATACTTGTACCAACCTACTTTATCCATTTGCCCCCATTACACAGTGAAATAAAAGTAATGCTATATGTCTCGTCGGAAATATATTTAATGCTCTCAGATTGACAGGTACATGGTTCTATTGTAAACACTGTTTTTCCTAATTATCCTATTTGTTAATTCTTGTTAAAAATGACAATGCACGTAGGTTTCTATGTAATTCTGACAAATACTGGGATGGGGCAGGATTGGACTTTTTCTTATTGAGGTTGGTTGTATTTTCTTGCAGCGTTACTACAACAGCACTGGTGGATCTCAACGGAGTGCTTCAGACAACCTCCACTGCAACAGATTCCACACCCCAACGTACACCGCAGCACACAAGACAAACCCAGTAGGTGGCAGGGATGAAGTGGTACTCAAATATCACCATGCCATACATACACAGGGCTACAAATAAGGGGCGTACAGGTGTAATGTATGCCTAAAAATCAATAATATAATATAAAATTTCAAGCGTATCAAAAATACCTTTGGTACGTCTAACATATGTAAAGTTTAATAGCTGAAAAGTTGTTTAATACAAATAACAAACCACATCACCAACTGGCTCACACAAGAACATGTCAGTACTCCTTCAAAATTCTCAGTACATCTCCACTTGCAATATGAGGTGTAATTACACCCACACACCCAAAAGTTATCTGGAGCCCTGCATACAGGATTCTTACTTTAAAATGATGCATTTTCTTGCAGAGGCGCTGCATGATAATTTTTTAAACACCAGTATGTTATAAAACTGTTTAAAAAACAAATATGGGCCAGTAATATTCCAGTCAAATCAGTCATTGATCCCAAATTGTGTAAGAGAGAAACAAAGGGTATCCTGTAATGTGTTGCAGGGTATGGTGTAAAAATGCACCTGGCACTGGTACAGTCACAGGGGTGGGGTGTAACCTAGTGGTTAAATCATTTGTCATGCCAAAGACCCAAGCTCGATTCCCCACATGGGTACAATATGTGAAGCCCGTTTTCTGGTGTCCCCCTGGTCCTGTCTTCATATTGCTGGAATATTGCTAAAAATGGCATAAAACTAAACTCACTCACTTTCAGGTGATCATGCAGATGTAGGATATCTCTTCAGTGATAATTACACGTGATACTTTATTATTGACCAGCCACCGTCATACAGCTGGTGTACTGCTGAGTGTCATATTAGAAATAAAAAACGGAAATGCTGGTGGCTTTAATGAATTGTTTAATCAGTTTTAATGAATCGTGTAAAACCTACATGACGTAAGGCTTCCCTCAAATTATTAGCAGGAATAGGTGGCCCTGTTGTCTGAGGCAATGAATGTTGCTGTGCAGAGTCCTGTCGCTTGTGCAGAGTCCTGTCGCTTGTGCAGAGTTCTGTCGCTTGTGCACACGAGAAACCTATGATCATTGGTTTGTCAGTTTCATGGTCTCGTGCTCATGGGTATCACCAAAGTCATTGATGTATGAGACCTGCGTTTTAAAAAATGTTTTTTTCTTTCACCTAAGGCTTAATGTAAGAATATTTTTCGAGCAATGGCTTACAAAAGAAAGCATCAGTTGTAAATGTCTCCTAACAAGGATCAACCAACCGGAGGGCTTGCTTCGACCACACACCCATTTTGTCCGGACATATCGTCATCCATTTGTGTCAAGATTGTTTAGTTGAGGGTCACAATCGGGTTTCAATCGACTTGCAGAAATAACAATTAAGAATTGGTAGGTTTCATGATTGGTGATCGATAGAGTCAATCATCCATGATTATGTTCACATTAAGTTTTAATGGATTACATGCAATGGTATCTTCAAGGGTCCTAAGTCGTTAAGCAGAGACACCATCGTAAACTGACCCGTGATGATTTGGGGTAGATGAGGTCTTCAGCAACCCATGCTTGCCACAAAAGGCGACTATGCTTGTCGTAAGAGGCGACAAATAGGATCAGGTGGTCAGGCTCGCTGACTTGGTTGACACATGTCATCGCTTCCCAATTGCGCAGATCGATGCTCATGCTGTTGATCACTGGATTGTCTGGTCCAGACTCGATTATTTACAGACCGCCGCCATATAGGTGGAATATTGCTGAGAGCGGCGTAAAACTAAACTCACTCACTCACTCACCATCGTAAACTAATAGTTATGAAAGCAGTGTTAAACTCAACTTATGTACTTATTCTCAGCTTCAAAGGACGGAGGATGTGCACATCTTGGTACAACCAGGAACCTATGCCGTATCAGCCGGTGCCTGGGGAACACAGTACCAGCAGAAGCATGTTGTCCACGTCCGAGAGGGAAACACCGTCAACATGGACTTCGTGTTATGACAGCATGTATAACCTCGGGAAGTCATGCTTTAAATACATGTTATGCTAGTCATATTATTAATTGTCAAACTACATCATGATATGAAACACACGTTGTTGTTTTTATCATGTTAATGACGTCAACATTGAAGTTTTATATCCTGTTACATTGATATTATGTAACTTGCCAAAATATTATTGCCAAATGATTGGCTTCCATGCTATTCCCAGTTCTTCCTTTGTTGACTTGCCACCTATGCTGTCTCAGTTCTACCAATACATTGAGCAATATTTGAGGGTTATTTTAAGGAACTACACTTCCAGTTTGGACACAGAAAATATTCCATATTTTCCATATTCAGAACAATCTACGTTAACTTCAGACTATTTTAAGTGTAATGAATTGTTTACTCTTTTTATACTTTCATTTTATGAATAACAAGGTGGGAGATTTAATTATAAAAAATCTCTTTCAACATGGTGGCAATATTTATTGCTTACAATTTTCATTGAATCTATCATATAATTATCATACTGTCACAGGTTTTTAACTTTATGATAATTAGAAGAAATCAGTAAACTTTAGAATTGTGTTTATGTGATTCAGGATCATTATGCTAGTCAATCCCATTACTTAAATACAATACCTCTCTGATGATCTCTGGATACAGATTGGGGCAGTGGGGTAGCCTAATGATTAAAGCATTCACTTGTCACACCGAACCTGCTTGCTTATTGGCTCTAGAACCTGCTGTGTCTGGTACCTTTATATGTGTACAGTGGACACAGAGAAACTATACATTGTGTCCTGACACACCAACATTCACACTGTCGACATATTTTTGTTATGAATTGAATCATGAAAACTTGAAGTATAGTCCACTACACTATTTCAGTACTTACAAGACTCATATTTCTTTTATGAGTGTCTGCTTATTAAATTAGTAACTGGATGTTCTCTAGACCTCTAGTTTTCTAGTTCAATGTAAAACACTGCTCACTCATCCTATATTAAACATAAAATGTTTGTTCAGGATTGCTAGACTCGGTTGTCCTTGCAGAGAGGTATTGTGATCTCATATGATTTGTGTGCTACTCCAAATTATGACAATCAAACTGACTACCCAAAGAAGTGTTTCTTTGTAGATTTGTGGTGTTTGAGTACCAGTATATGCATGGGTGTTCCAGTTGTCGTTAACACAGAGATGGAGTGATCATGATGGCAGGTAATTAGAAAGATGGGTTTTTTATTTGTCTCTAATCATGCCAGTTTTGTCAGCTGAACAATGAATATTTAGTTACAACTGCCCAAACTTGTTTTAGAGAAAGGTTCCAGAATGTCTGGTAATGAACAGGTAGTGGGGAGTAGGTTTCAAGGAATGTAGGAATTGTTTCTTGAGAAGTCATAAACCTTTCAATATTTCCTAATGAAACTTGTAAGCACATCAGATCTCTTGCATCATTTTGTAATGTGTTGTCAATATTTAAACTGTTCGACAAATTCTGCTAAATGAAGTTCTGAAGGTATGGCTGGAAGGTATAGAATGCAATTAGGACTGGTAGGAATTGTGTTACTGTAGACAGTTGACTCCAGTCAACTTAAGTCACCTGTACTTATGAGCTTTGAACTAACCACAGTTTTGATTGGTTTAAAAATAATCAGATATATTGTGTAGCCATTCATATGATATATTTTGTGATTTTATTAACACAAGAGAGAGAGAGACAAGGATAATTTTTGCCTTTTTGTGCCACTTAGTCATATCTTTCATTCTCCTGATGAGGTTCAAAGGTAGGTGCTTAATAGGTTGTAAAATGTAATCTTGTTTGTTGTCAGTACTGGAGTTTTCAGATTAATCAACTATTATCGGAAAGCAGTGCTATGATGAGTTAATTAGTCTGCTTTACAAAAGCTGTACTGGGCCATGTCACGAAGTAGTCATAGCACTAACGTGATCTTAACTTTCATACTTTAATATAGGCTTGTAACAGTCGTAGCTCTAAGGCAGTCGTAACTCCCATACTTTAACATAGGCTTGCAACAGTAGTTTCCAACTTTCCAGTATACATCTTGAAGCCAGCTTACTATATCTTAGGTTTCCAGGACTGTTTCACCGTGTGCAATAATTATTGAGGGGCAACTGCAAACATGGTAAATCAGTTGTGTGTATTTTTTATCTTTTAATAAGATGTTTTCTAAGACGTGCAATAAATATTCTTCCTATTGTGTAGATAGTTTTGTGTTGAAATATGTGCCTGTTGAAAATATTGAGCATCATATTTTAACATCACCCTGTCAGCAATGTCGCACATATTTTGCAGTGATTGTGGTGCTAAGAAACATGGTGCTTCGCTTTTTCCGCTATTTTTAAAATTTAGGTTAATTTCATACTCGAACAATATTTTGCAGGAGAAAAGCGCAAGTTACATAAGCTTGCTGCTTTTGCATTGAACGCTAGTCACATACTCACCATGCAATGCTTGGATATTCCAATTCTCATTGTTATAATGACGTACAAAAGAAAGTACACACCTGATGCTTTGGTAAAATGTTTTCCCGAAAACAGCGTAATATTTAGACAAGTGTTTTGATTGCGACTCACAAACATTGTGTACGTGTTGCAATAACACCATAGATATCGTACCCAATTAAAACATTGCTAGCAAAATATTTGTTGTTTTAATAGTCTCAAAACACCAGGTGTGTACTTTGTTGTACATCAGTTTATTTTGTGGTCACAAGGTTATCTGGATATTTGTGATGATACATAATTAGTAATGCGGAATAAAGTTTGTTTTATAACATTTTGTCATGTGTATTATTTATTAACATGATTAACTAATGATACCCGTGAAGGTCCAAGAATACTGATCTTCAGTAACCCATGTTTGTAGTAAGAGGCGACTAAAGGGATCGCGTGATCAGGCTCGCTGACTTAGTTGACACATGTCATCAGTGTCCCAATTGTGCAGATTGATGCTCATGCTGTTGATCACTGGATTGTCTGGTACAGACTCGATTATTTACAGACTGCCGCCACATAGCTGGAATATTGCTGAGTGTGACGTAAAACTAAACTCACTATTAACTAATGAAAATTTATTATAAACGCTGCATATGTACAAATTCCCACATACGTCATGCAGTAGTGAGCACAGTCTGTTTGTTGGCTGAACCTGTCAAGATGACAGAGGCCTGTGAATAATCAAGTCTGCTCACAGAATCAACCATTGCCTTGTACAACCACCAGAGGTAGCTAGGGAGCAGGTTTTTATAAAGAACCCTCGACCATGCCATCCAGTGATCAACAATCCACACTGCCAGGTATTGTTGACATGCAGTCAACCATTGCCTCTTTCAACCAACATAGCTTGCTGGGGATGCATTCTAACCCTGAATCCTCTCCCGTGAGAGAGAAGAAAAGTGAGTATGGTTTTGTCGCTTTCAGCAATATCATGTCAGGAGACACCAGAAATGGGCTTCACACATTGTACCCATGTGGGGAATCGAACCCAGGTCTTCAGCGTGATGAGCAAACGCTTTAACCACTACGCTACCCCACCGCGCCAGAGGAAAAGTGTGTCAAGATATATACACTGTACTGGATTCCTAATGATAAAAACAAAAATTCAGGCTTACATAATTTTATTGTCATCTAGTTTGAAATATGGCAAAAAAGTAAATATTCTCTTGCTGTACATAACTTGACACTTAAACAATTCAGATCTACTCTGCAATGTGGAGTGGCTAATCTTAAGTCAGTTCTGGCAAGGAATGGACAATAAAACAATTTCAAATCTCACTGTGCATTAGGGGAGACAACTCAAGAAGTCTTAGATGACATATCTGCAGTATCTATCAGTTAAGGTACTTCCGAAGCTACTACACTGAAGTAGCTTTGTAATGTTCTATTTCATGATCGAAGAATCATATGCTTCTAAAATGTATCCACCATGTTTTACATGCGGACTTGTACCTGCTTTCCTCAAATGCACAAAGAAATGCAACAAGAAAATAACAAATTACAAACAGCATATCTAATGTAACACAGACTTAAAATATATATAACATTTTGAGATGAGCCATGATAACAATGCAATATCTGACAGGTAATGCTTCTACACCAAGCACTATAGCATATAGGCATACCTTTGAAGGGTAACATTACACATCTCAGTGTACACAGCACTCTCACAATGATGACTGCCAGAACACAAGAGTTGTAGCCCTATCATTTACATAATATGTCTACATCTATGAATGTCAACGGCTTTACAAGCAGATGCAACATTTTAACAGTATTTGTAGCTCTGCAAGTCTTGTAGACTGAGACTGGCAATAGCTGTAAGGTCGACCTGTTGTAACAGTAGCAGAGCTTCATCACTTACGGGATGGGTAGAATGATTATAATCCCATTGGAGCTACCTATTATAACCCAAACACAAATAAATAAGGAGTCTTTAGTAATTCGATCACTGTTTCCATTTTATACCCCCTTGATCCTGTAAGTGTTCAGGGTCCTGATCCTCAAAGCAATCTTAGTGCTACGACATTTGTAAGCTATAGAGTTAAGATAGGTCGTAACATTACGAAGGCTTTGTTGATCAGGACCAAGGTAGCGTATATTTCAAAAGCATTGTATCAGGTACAACATATCCCATTTCAAAAGTTACACTTCATGTCATATCACAAATATGTGTCCGATTTGTTATGTGTTGGAACCTATACTCCTCTCCTCCTCCCCCCATACCTATTTAACATATATACACATTTCAGGAGTTTGCATGATGAATCTACCCTTTCTGTGGAAGATGCTTCACATATTACACTGTAACCAAGGAAACAAAGAATAGAACACTTTGGGTCATAAATAACTGGCTATGTCCTCAATAAATAGTGATAGTATTCATTGTTAAATATCACACATCTATGTTTGATGAACTGAATTCTACCCATCCAGGTTTGATTATTATGGTCTGGGGTGATTGGTTTTATACCTACACTACAGAAATCATACACACATGGAAACCATTTACAGAAGATTATCACGTGCAGTCAATCTTTCCCTTTCTCATGTAACATGTGAAACTTCTGTGTCATGCAAACAGTAGGCGTAAGCCGATAGAGTGAGTATGGTTTAACACCACTTTTAGCAATATTCCTAGTGGTATTCCAATTAATTGAAATAATCGAAGATTGGTCGCAGTGACCAAAGGACCAAAATGACCACATTTTCTTTAATCGATCACAACTTTTGGATAATCGAAACACTTGACGATTTTGCAGCTGCCAGGGCTGACTGTTTTAGTGTTTGTAAACACTTGACTTAAGGAGATATCTTAGAAGTTGTCAGGGCCTGAAAATGTGTTTAATTCTTAGTAAACTCACTTCACTAACTGAAAAGTCATGACAGAATATTTCTTGAAGACTCCAGGATGTTTATGCTCATGGTATATTAGTCATCACTTTAAAGTAGCAAGATGCAACATTTTAAATTGGTTGTGAAATTTGCAAATACAATGTGCACAGTTTCTAAATAAAGCAAAAAACAACAGATGACCATGTTGTACTTATCTGCAATAACAACCTGTATAATGTCTGAAAATCTGAAAAATGACGCTAACCAATTTTTTTCGATGATTGCTTGCTGGTAATGAACCAGTTATCAATTGCAAGCAATTCCCAACACTACGGTCAGGTTTTATCAAAGCCTTCAACCGGCTTTTACTTGGATATCAGACACTACAAAAATATATTATAAATTTTAAGTTGACATCTGTCAAATATATGCAGACAGAGGTATTCATGATGCTTCTGACAAATGGTTTCCATATGGTGCTCTCTACACAAATTCTATGTCCGTTATCTCTTAGCTTTAAATAAAGACAGAGTATGACCAGTGTATGAAATAAGGCCCGTCCGACTGCCAGAGACGGGTTAGATTTCAGACGGACGGTCTAGATTTACAGCTAGCCAGCCCGATGGTCTGGTAAAAGATTTAGATGCTATACACATCTGAGTCATATCTTGGTGTCTGGACTGGTTAAATCCATTTTGGACTGGTAACATTTTGAAGTTACCAGCCCTGATGTCTGGCTGGGGTTTTGGCTTATTTCATACACTGATAATTGGGGTAATAAACCAACTTATTCTAGGTTCGTTATATCTTAGCTTTAAATAAAGACAGAGTATGACATTCAGGTTGTGTTTGGGTTGTGCATCCATGAGAGACAAGAAGGAAAGAAACAAAGCTGGCCATTTCATGATGAATGTTCCGTGTGTAACACAGATACCCAACAGGTTAGGCACACAACCTGCCCAAACACAGTGAGCGAGTATGGGTTTATGCCGCTTTTAGCAATATTCCAGCAATATTCATGGCGGGGACACCAGAAATGGGCTTCACACATTGTACCCATGTGGGGAATCGAACCCGGGTCTTCGGTGTGACGAGCCAACGCTTTAACCACTAGACTGCCCAAACACAACCTAAGCACAGTGCAAGGAGCAGAAAGACCAGAAACACATTATGCAGCACAAACATAGTCAGTCCAATAGTTATAGCAGTGAGATCAGAAAGTGGAATTTACAGTGTCTTCAACAAATAAACACAATCTATGCCTTCAAATTACCACAATTACAAGAACTCGAAAGATATGATACACCTTCAGAAAATTTTGAGTTAAATTTTCAATAAAAATGTGTTACATACCCATATATGTGATCACAAATGTACAAATTTTTCAAATACTTACATATTTACAGTATCAACATAGTACTTCTACAGGATAAATTATCTCCAAACTGTAAATATATCTCCAAAGCTGTACAGCATCTCTTAGTTTTGTTATCCTCACTGACAGCAATAAATATAATATCACTATGACGACGACATGACCATATATACTACACATACATGGGCTTGCTCAAATCTAAGGCGCCATGTTTAATTTTCAAATCTCGGAGGCCCTACATTAAACTCCCAGCAAAAAAGAACTTCACAACAACTAATATAAAAACAAATATCTACCTGACTGTAACTCCTAACCACAAATCTGTCTCTGCACTAAAAATCTGTCCTACTCACAAATCAATCTACTGATCACAAATTTGTCTATTCATCACAAAACGTACTACGAACCACAAAACCTTTAGAAGCCACAAAACTTACAATTAATCACAGTCAACAGGATGTTTCACACTTCTAGCAGAATCTTCTGTGACTCCATATGCTGCTTGCAAGGTTTCATATGATCCATGTCATGCAAGTTTCCATGACTACCAATTCCTCAATCATCCCTCAGACTCATTCATCTTATTTCCTGGTATACAACTTTCAAGCTTTACTAATGTGTAATAATGTAAACATTTGGTTTTAAATCATTACTTTATAAATTTGTCAGCAGTAAAACAAAGGCATTAACCCTATTAAGCATTGGTAGCATCAAGATAGAGTTCAAACACTAAGTCCAACAAATTTGTTTCATTTTATCCAATCAACATTTTAAAAAAAAAATCCCTCCCAAAATTGTTGTTTTCACTATTTAATCTTATTTCAACAACTGACCCAAAGGTTGAACATATATGTGTGGAAACCACAAGAAGAATACAGCATGATGAAGACTTTTACGTATCATGGACTTTAATACTTCACATTTCACAACATCTGATAGGAAGTAGCATTAGGGCAGGACACATCCATTCTCATCAATTCCAAGGCCTTCAGTGTACCAACTGAACACATTAACTACTAGGCTTCCCTTTAGTGTAAGTTGGGTTTTTGTTTGCAATATTTCAACAATATCACGTGAGGGATGCCAAAATGACCTTCTTAAAACATGGGGAATTGGAGCTGGCCTGTCCAGTGATGATTGTATGGTTTTACCACAAGGCTACCCCACCACGACTAATGCCCTTTGAGTACTCTGATATCTTTGACTGAGTAAAAACTGGACATTGAGTAATAATGATTCAGAAACATACCTGATTGGAAACTATAATCATGGTAACTGTACAAAATTCACCTCATGAACCTCATAAGCACCACATGGACACATGGTTGATTACGCTAATGGCACCTCGCTATACTCAATCTTCATGACGTTCTGTTCAGTCTCACACACTTACTAAAGTTCTTTGGTTACAGAAAATACTAATTAGCCATCCATCAAACCCTCACCTAATGATTCACATAACTTTCTCCATCATTCACAATATTTGGTACAAGATGGTTCAAAAGATGAATGACAACATAGGACAAAACGTCCTAGTGTATAAAACTGATAACAGCCGTGACGTACCTGTAGCTCTTGCAGACAGAACGGTGAATGTATCGGTGTGCTGCACAAACGATATATACTGCAGCATAAATAACTTGATGAAGCTTAAACAATATCATACATATTTGTAACTAGTCAAAATATTTGGAAATTATTCAATCCATATCAGACTCCTGTGATATAAAACAGTCGGGACAAACCATTTTATCTTTGGGCAAAGGGGATATTCCAAATACAATAAACCCATTTAGGAATGTCTGAAAATATTCTTTTGTTCCAGTTTCAATTAAAAAAGAAATCAATATATGAATGGATTTGAAACAGAATCCCTGTTCCACTGCCACAAAATATCATTTTATTAGAGTTGAAGTCTGAAGGTATATCCCATCCCATACCCCCAAATAAAGTGGTTCGTCCCCGAGCTGAGACTAGAATATAGACTAGGTGTTATCCTCCTCCTTTGATTTAGGTCTTCAGTATTGGCAAGCATTGTTCTGTAGCACATCTTTAAATCTGATATGTTAATATACTATTGGAATACATTTGTAAATATCAGCATGGCTATACGTTATTGCAGGATGTACAGCAGCTTACTTTATCCAAAATAGTTCAAAATATACAACATAAATACATTAAATAGCATCCTCAGATATTGTACAAACTACTCCGTCCTTTCCCATTCATACTCTGTGTAAAATAACAGCTGTATTAACCACTGTCAGGGCTAGTGAGTATAACAGGAGTACCCTGAACATGCATATATATTGTCATACAATTGCTTCGAATGCATTTTAAAGACTAATATAAAGAGCATCTTCCTGACTGATGTTAAGGTGGTAGTGTTATTTGGATCATGATCATTATTATTTTATAACATAATTATTATTATATAGTGTATTAATAAACACTACAATGCTCATAAAGCACAAGAAAACTTATTTACAGACCTAAGATTGCACCTTTAAGATGGGTATGACAGTTTACTATATCAGGTGTTTTGCAAGTATATGTTGTACTGAAAACATTAAAAAAGACTTTTAAAAACTTTAAAATGTCAAAATCTCTAGAATTGAAGAGCTTCTCAACATGAACTGCTACTCAGACATTCATATAATGAGATGTAAGTAGCAGTAACTCTGACCTACTTTACCTCAGATGTTATAGATCTCCAGAAAGTAATATTCATATATTTTCTATCTAACTTAAAACATCTATTTTTTCATTCTAGTTTTGCAAATCATATCAGTGACTTGAATACACAACAAATACAATTTCTTTGTTCAAGACTAGATGTAGTTTCAGACATATTGCTATTCATAAACTGAACTGTAAAAAATAAGAGATTCTTCTATGACAATTGAAACCATGAAGCCCATTGCAGTGCCTCCCATACAACTAATTTGTTGTATATTGTGATTAATACATCGATCCATACTTTGATTCATCCAACTTCAATAATATGGGTACTTATATAACGTGTTAAAACGTAGTGAGCAACCATTGTAAGTACAAAGATATACAGATTCTAATCAATCTTAATTTGATTCAGAGCTCAATGTGGTAAACACAAGTAAAACAAATAAAATCAGTATCACATATTATTCCAAACCTGCAGTACTAATGATCCTCTTTACTCAAAGTTATCACTCTATACCATTTGGGTTCAAGCTTAAAATATGTGATTGTCTTTGAACAAACCCCCAGATGACTGTCACTTATGAAAATCATATACACACATATATATTGTTTTCTATTAACAATTTGTCACAGGATGCCAGAATACTGAATCTTTGACACAATTTTCATCAAAATATTCATGTACTTATAAAGAGTCATGATACCTGTCTCTCTCAAAGAGGCTAGTTTCATGACACATCCAAGGGCCTGTTATAGAAACTGTCTTAACCGCGTAGCTTTGATACCACTAAACAATATTCCAAGTATGTAATAAATTCATGGATAGAGAAAAAATTGCTAAGCATTTTATCAATGTAAAATTTGCATTCAACATTCATTGTGTTTCTTAACATCCTTAGTAAATCTCCATTCAAGTTTGATAAACAGATATGACAATAATTATATAGATATCTATATGTCCCTTGTCTGCGTTCTATTATTTAACAATCCCTCAAACACCTTGACATGAAATTGTGAATCACACACAACCAAATAATCTTGCACTGACATATTGTTTGAAACCATTCAGCTGAACCAATACACTCTGTGTAAATTATGAAGTCAAGGACACTTTAAACACGTCTATTCTTAAGGTGCATGTGATGTAAACCTACATCACTGGAAAGATGATATGTGAACTATAAAGATACTGTATTAGATTCATAAAGTAAATGGCACATTAGAAATGAAAAATATAAACGAAACAATAAAATCACAACCAAACTCACAATCCAACACAAAGCTGTTTGCTCTCAAGCTGCTTCACAAGAGACAGGAAATATGCATAATTGAACATTCTGAACTTCCTTCGATTCAGTAAACTGCTAATATGAGTAGAAGTAAAAGCTTTAACTTATGTAGCGATGTGGGATGACATGTACAAAGAGTGAACACAGGGTAATATTGTAAACAGACAGAATTAATCACAGCAAGAGGTAACAAACATTGTGCAAAATAAAATAATTCCACCGTACCATCTTCTATAATGACAGATAATACCTTATCACATTTAAAAAGGTAGTTTTATTACGAGACAAATGTTAAATAAATTACATTAAATCCATCAATAATAATTTAAAGAAAAAACAAATTGTGATGTTATGTTTACTAAAGGTAGGCTTCTTGTATTGAAAGACTGCAATGTTGGTAGTTGACACAACACCATGATGGAACAAGGTCATGACCATGGTACACAACTAGCAACATCCTTCTCAGGTGTACCAGGGGCCTTGTGACTCTTAGACACATTATAGCCACTCAACGATTTGGGGCTTGGTGACAATCCAGTAGGTACTAAGATCATCACATAACATTCCCACATAGAGAATAGAACACATCTTCAGTTTGTTTGTTGTTGTTGTTGTTAATGCAGCACTCAGCAATATTCCAGCTATATGGCAGCGGCCTGTAAACAATCGATTCTGAAACAGGCAAACCATTGATCAACAGCATGAGCATCGATCTACGCAGTTGGGATACAATGACATGTGTTAAGCATGTCAGCGAGTCTGACCACCCAATCCTGTTGCTCGCCTCTCACAACAAGCATGGGTCACTGAAAGATCCTCAGTCATCATGCATTTAATCATTAGGTTACTGCGTCGCACGAGTGGGTTTAGTTTTATGCTGGTTACAAAAAATCATCATCATACTGTGCCAACTTGGCATGAAAGGAAACCTATGGTTTTAGACATTCACAAGCTTGTGAGTGAGTGAGAGAGAGCATGGATTTACGCCCCTTTTAGCAATATTCCAGCAATATCATGGCGGGGGGCGGGGTACACCAGAAATGGGTTTCACACATTGTACCCATGTAGGGAATCAAACCCGGGTCTTAGGCGTGACGAGCAAACGCTTTAACCACTAGGCTACCTCACCGCCCCACAAGTTGGTGAAAGTTTCAGCATGTGTACAGGGTTGACAAACCTAGAAACATAACCAGGGCCAACTGGGATTCGAACCCACATTTATAGACACACCTGAGTGATGTATCTGTGGACAGCATAGTCCTGGACATTTCAGGACTCCGCCACTTGTCAACCAGCCTGTCATGAACATGAGCCTTGCCTACATGTAATAAATGTTACAAGTTCATAGACCCTCTTACACATACCCTATCATGGCCATAGAGAAGATGTTGCCAATAAAACCTAGGAAGTTGTACTGATCTTTGTACCACTATCCGAACTCAGACTAGTCCTAAATTACACAAACCACATAAAAAAAAGTACATCACAAACGTCCGGAGTAAAATCTTTCACAACCATGCATAGTTGAGCAAAAGGTTTTTTTATGTTCTTTGGCTTGTATTTTGCAGAATGCACTTGGAACTTGATGTGCAACTAAAAGAAGAAGGGAAACTGATAAATAATATTTTCCCAGGAGCAACTCAATTCCTATATAAACCAAGAATCTTCATGTTATTGTTGATCAATTACATTTGGCTGTGTTGTGCTTGTATCATACTGAACACTAGACATGGAAACAGAAAAGTTGCAAGCAAAATAATGAATACAAATACAAAAGTAAAAGAAATTGTGTTCATTATTTTTAAATGATTTTTCGACTAATAGTTATTGAAGAGACCTTCAGGAAGATCCTACTTTTGAGGATACTATAAAGGTGCAGCATGATGATACTGTAAATGCATAGCTTACCAGTTATCTAACAAACTGGTATGTGTGCCACTCAAAACAAGATAAGGATCATATGATTTATCCATATTACTATCATTAATCTATAATGCCAAGAACTGGCGAAGTGTGACCTACAGAAGGGAATGGGTTTATCATCACGTAAACGGTATGTTTTGATTGTTATTTCAGACAGGTGGGGATTATTTTAATTTGCCAAGTCATCTCTGCACTCTGTTCCTACAACTCACACCAGTGGCATGGAAGTAATTGTTCTTTCTCATCTTCAGCTCATCCCATGTTAATAAACCGTCCAACTGCCTTGAAAACATTTGAAGCAGTGCTTTTCATAAACAATTTTAAAAATTAGTGACATATTTTATCTTAAGAATATTTGAAGAAGGGAAGAGTAATACAATAATAAGGTCTGTGAAGTCTTGCTGTCTTATCAGGACTGCTTAAACTGGGCTTTATAAAGCACAAGTTATACTCCTGATAGTGTTTTCTCAAATTTATCTCAAGTGTCCAACTAGCAATAAATAATTACGGACCTAGAGACAGTAACTCAGTGCTGCAGGCTGTGACAGGCACCTGACTGATTATCACACCTTGACACACTGATCCTGATGGTGACAAGAATGAGTGAGTTTAGTTTTATGCCGAACTCAGCAATATTCCAGCTATATGGCGGCTGATGACAAGAAGCCAAAGGCAGTTTAATCTTTACAGCAGACATGGGACAAAAATCTTGAACTTCCTGAATGTGCCACACAAGACACTGCTAAACTTAACATACAAATGATCACAAATACATATCCATAGTTAAATCTGTATCACATCTACCCCTTCCTTGTATTCCCTCATTTAAGTTTAGGAAGACATTTACCTACAACTAGTCCAAGGTTCCAATGACCAAACTCAGGAAATAAATGCGAACACCTTCTTATAACTTCTGGCATTTTTAAGACCTACTTCATAAGTATAAATAATATGATTGAAATAACAGTATGCGATATCGTCACAAGAAACAGGGTATAACAATTTCCTTTCAAAGGACTGTGATCCAAACATGAATGTTCTTCATACATTACATTTCAAATACGTATGATCCTGGCCGGCCCTAAACATCAAACTGTCAACAAAACGGTGTCAACTGGCATTCCATGATATAAACAAACTGTAATATCTAGAACTGGAACAAATCGGTGATAATCTGCAACGTTGAGCCATAGCAGTAAACATGGACGCTAATAACTGGACCATTACCAGTAGACACTGGTTCTAACTGGCACAAGTTGGATATATCGCTTGAACTGCACAAGCACCTAATGGCTATTGCTGTTTTAACCTGTGACTTCAAAACAGCAGAAAAATGTCTTTTTCTGTCGATACCTTTTACATGAAATAAGATTGATGCCAAGATTTCGCCGGCAGGTGGTTATGTAATTTTCATTGTGCAGAGGTCGGATGTGACAATGACAAGAAACTGTTTTTAAATCTGTGAGTTAAATGAAATTTACAGTTTTAGTGATGGTCTTTGGTTCAGCATGAAACTGGCAGCATCTGTTTGTAATATCCTCCTTAGATGCATCACCTTGAACTAATCCACTTAGGCAATAAAACATTGTCTTGGCATTGATCTATTTCCTCTTTGAAGTGACAGGTTAAATGGCAAAATTCTTTAGCTTACAGCACATGACCACAATAAACATGTGTGTAACTTGACACATGGGGCCCTTTTGGGGTTATTTACAACACTTTATGGCCTGAGGCCCTGTTGAGGTGGTCTCACACCACCCCTCAGCTAAAACTCAGTAACCATGGTAACACAGATGATGATCACTAGACATTGGTACTAAGCTGAGACATGGCTTTGATTAAAGCACTCTTGTCTTCTTCCAGTTTAATATTTTCATCTTCAACTTCATCGAGTTCCTGAAAAGAGAAAGATAGTAAATTATTGCAGGGAAAAAGCAAGTTGAATATGGACTTGACAGAATGATGAACTGTGATAACTTGACTGAATAACAGTCTGTCACCAAACAAGGCACGTATATAAAGACATCAGTCTAAGTAAAATTAGGCTCAGTATTATTCGTTACACTGCTATACTGAGTCTAACAAAACCTTGTAGAAGGTCGCGTCAGCTAACCTTTGAGCGACCTATGACCGTCCAATCAAACGCGAGACGGACAAAGGGATTTAACCAATCAGACAACGACTACTTGTTAGGGTTTGGCGGGACTTGCAAAAAGTTTTTTCTAAATTTCTCTTCCCTGGTCTCTGACACTGATCTATCAACAAATGAAAATCCACATAAAGCAGATATATTTGACCTGCAGTATATGCTTATGGGTTTCTAATGACTTGGTTACTATTTGCTTATATTTTCGCAAGATGACATCCTTGAATATTGACAAAAACGCTATTTTCAGCGACTGTTTACTCATCGCGTGTATCACTCGGAAGCGATCGAGCAGAAAATAACATTCAGAATCATTCTAGTTTTTGAGGTAAAGGTTCAAACGGTATGTGCGAATGTTAACTTTCGCGATTTGGTAAGCTGTGTTCTGATTGGTCAGTCCAAAAGGTTAGCTGACACGACCTTCTACAAGGTTTTGTTAGACTCAGTATAGCAGTGTAATGAATAATACTGAGCCTAAGTTTACTTAGACTGATAAGACATGAATCTGTCTGAAACTCACTGAAAGTAGGTGTCACATGGTGTATAAATATTGGAATTTGAACTTGGGTCTTTGATATAACAAGTAAATTCTTGACAGATTCTTGACAATCAAAATATTTCAAACTTGCTAATGCTATCCAAGAACATCCTATCACGCCAATGCAGGTTTGCTTGGCAGTGTTGTGAGTAAAAAGAGTTATCTCCCTTTCCAAACTCTCCCTTTTCTGTTTTGCCTCGTGCGTGTTCTTCACGAGTACAAATATAACCTATAACGAAGAGTTCTCTTTGTGTCCTCTTGATTCAGTACCCTCATCCTAAACTGCTGTCAACAGTTGATTAAATGTCCCCTACAATATCACAGCAACTAAACAATCTTGCAGGTGAGTTGAGACAGCAGCACCTGCACACAGAATGTTCTAGGTTTTCTCAGGCAGTGACTCACAACACACTGGATTGTTTTCTACCCAGTGTTCTCTCTGAGGGCGATCTCTCATATGCTGTATAAACACAGAGAACCCTAAAAGTAACCAGACAGCTCAGATATTTTGTTCAGCATTTACTGTTTTGATGTCGAGCAAATTCAGTAGTTGTGTTAAAAAAGGTTGCAGTCACCTCAATGTGAGCACAAGATTGGATTAAATATGTCATATGTCAGTTTAAGTAAGTCAGATATTTACCATTCTGAACAGAAATCAATCTTTCAGCAACTAAACATGTTCTAATATTCTGACTGTCATAGTCCTAACTCTTTCATAGTCTAAAATTGTTCAAATTAGTCTTGTACACATGTACAACTAGTGCCTCTTGGCTGTCTTCCCTCATCAATCTACAATGACCTTTAAAAACAAGATATGTAAACAGTACATGCAAGTATTAACAGTAATCACAGTCATTTTTCTTCAAATACACAGCAACACAGTCAGATCTCACTGTCAGCCAGTGTGATATTATTGTAGTTTACCCACAATGCCTGTTCAGTCAATGACACCACTGGTTATCTCCCTTTAACTTCCACTCAAGGTGAAAGCCTATGACACATTCAAAATGCACAAAATTCAATAACATATCTTGCTAGATGCATCTACTACGAAAATACAAGACAAATAATAGTGCAGTGAGTTTGTAGCTAAGCCAAAAGGACCTTTTACAATGGTAACTTGGGTTATCATATTCAACTGTATGCTGTACTGTGTTGGGCCTCTGCTTTGTTGTAAGAGGTGAGGTGAATTTGGGTTTAACATCGTGCTTGAGAATATTTCGTTCATATGACGACGTGCATGCATGTGTATGTGTATGTGCGGCTGCTTGTACTAGCCCAGACTTAAGCTGGTTTTATAGTCCTAGCCCACTGAGATACCGTGTCGCAGTGAAGCATGAATACCCTACTCAGACACATTATACTGACTCTGAGCTGACCAGTCCTTGTTGTACCCATTAATGCCGAGCGCCAGGCAGGGACTAACAAGTACCATGTTTTAACGTCTTTTGGTTTGACGTGGTCGGTGATCGAACCCGCGACCTTCCACTCTCCGGGCGGACGCTCTAACCACTACACCACGGAGGCGGTCCTTTGTTCTAAGAGGGTTTGTAGTAGTGTTGGGAATAGGTAGAAATCTCACACCTGATAATTGGTTCCTTACCAACGAGCAATCATCGAAAAATATTAGTTACCGTCATTTTCCAGATTTCCCTATTCAGGTTGTTATTGCAGACAAGTATAAAGTGGTTCTCTCTTGTTTTGTTTTATTTAGAAACTGCGCAAATTGCTAAGGGAAATTTCACATCCAATGTAAAATGATGCAACTTACTACTTTAAAGTGATGACTAATATATGATGAACATAAACTTCCTGGAGACCTTAAGAAATATTCAGTCATGACTTGTCAGTAAGTGAAGTGAATTTTTTAAGAATTAAACATGTTTTTCTTCCCGGACAATTTCTAAGATATGTTCCATCGTCAAGTGTTTCAAACACTAAGAAAGTAGTTCCAAAATCGTTTGTGTTCGATTAGGAGAAAATGTGATCGATTGTTTGGTCACTGCGACCAATCTTCGATTATTTCAATTAATCGGAATACCACTAGTTCGTAGTATGCAAACTTCATATGCCTACAAAGTTTGAAAGAATACCTAAATTGGGGGAATACTGATACATCCAATCATGATGTACACTAGATGACCTGCAGAAACTGACAAAACTTAGTTGTCTAGGGACATTGTTCAGAGATCTGTAATTGTGCAAACTTGTGTCCATCCATAAGGGCATCATTTTTTAAATGTGCTTCACGAAGCCACTAAATTCTGAACATGTGTCGGTTGGTCGGGAAAAAAACAAAATTAACTTAATATAGACAGAATTATCTGAATAATGTTCTTGATTCTCCTTTATTCTAATTCTTGTTACAATTTCTCGCATTCTTTAGACTAGTGGCAACGACTGATTAAAAGGTAAACATGTTATATGACGAGGCAGTACGTTTGAGGTTCAAGTTGGCGGTGTTGGAATGAAAAAAAGAAGAAGTTTTTTGAGGCGTCGGCAAAAAAATTATAAGGGTCAGTCGGGCAATGAGAAACACAGAAAATAAAAATGCTATCCTAAGGTTGTTTCAAGATTTCTTTTGAACGTCACTATTTGCTTCATCTTTTTGTTTTATTAGACATAGACTGATACCCTGGATTCATCAAAGGTTGACACTGGATGCTCAGTGGAACTTTGTCTGCTTCAGTGTCGAGGAATGAGGAATGAGCTACACTAGGAAAACTTCCAATAAATGCAACTTCAAAAGTTATTAGGATAAGTAAAGGGTTGATATTCACAGGCTACAAACACACAGAGCTTCCATGCAAAGAGTTCTGAGGCGACTAGAATTTGGCATTACAACAACAAATGAAATCACAATATACACAATCAAGCTAAGGAATTACGCCAAAAGAACATCTACCATATGTTGAAAAATGTCACAAAATAGTCTCATCTGTGTTAAAAATCAATAAAGTCAAGAATGACGTTTCTTTCGAGAGATCTGCACGTTCCGTCCCTATTCTAAAGATGTATATCCTCCAAACAAAACTTCAACTGCTACCACTGCTGCCATATAGCTGGAAATTGCTGAGTGTGGCGTAAAACTGAACTCATTCACTCAATTTCTTCCATGATTTTTCATTGCATCTTACAAGTACATTGAATTACTTTGAAGGGTGTCTGTGAAGCTGTTTCTATGATTAACATACAAGAAAAAGAAAGGTTGACAACAAATGCTTGAAGATGACATGCCAACAGAAAGGGGAGATACGAATCAATAACGACCATGCTATATCACTGATTATTACCCTGTTTTCCTATTCCTCAGTGGTAACACTGCAATATAGGAGAGGTCACATGTAATACACAACTACAGCATTGACAGCATGCATTGTTTCAGTGTTAACTGCATATTGCTGACAATACATTGCTGCTTCATTTAATCTTTAATCATCCTGTGAGAGTTGTAACCACCTCTATTTCAACTATGTAGAATTTACATACTCAGTAATGTTTCCTTTCCTTATATCTGGCAGTGACTTTAAAGATATTGAAACAGTTAACGTCTTGTTATTCTTGATTGTGAAAAATTGATTTATTCAGAGATAATATTGGTCCAAATTTACTTATTTGAGCTCATCTCAATCAAGGAGAGTGATAATGGCTAGCATGATTCCTATGATGTGAAGATACCATCACTTGGGTAGTATTTCAACAGTCAAGCATCCTTTATATATGAATACATCATCTGGAGTCAGGTTCTCTGCAGCTGCCATCCACCTTCCTTGTCTATCATTGAACCAGGATGAGTGGAGGAAGTATTAACCCTACCTTATTGAGGAGGGACACCTCCTTCTCCAGCTCCGCTATCCTGCGGTCCTTGTCGTCTAGCATTTGCTGTAGCCTCTTGTTCTCCTCCTTCTCCTTCTCCAGCAGCTGCAACATCAACAGCTTTGTCAGCATATAGTGATCATAACACTGGACCATCAGCAACCACCAAGAAACACCAAGATAGAGGACCAATCTAATATAGGGGATCAAGTTATCAAAGAACAGCCAATAAACATACAGAGTCCCTAGTTACTATAGGGTAACATTGATTGCTTGGTAACCACTCTCAGCACAAAAGAACACCCAGTCACCAAAGAGAACATTTACCATTGGGAACACCAAGTATTTATAGAAAGCAGAAATAGCAGCAGTAATACCCACATAATAGAACACCCAGTTAATAGAGTGAACACTCAGCTAACAAAGAGTACACCTAGTTAACAGAGAACACCATGTAAACAAGGAAAGCATCCAGTAACAGAGAACATCAGGTCAAGAACACACTGGCATGATTGTAATCCAAAGAATTAGGTCAGATGCACATCAATCTGCTGTTCATCACTACTCACAGGGTCATTGCAAAACCATAAGGGGAATGCTAAACAAAGACAACCTAGGTACTGTTGCTCACCTTCCACAAAGAAAGGTCTCTTACATGTGATTATGTGCACATAATCCTTTTCCTAACATTTGAGGGGAATGTTTTTGATAATTGATTTTGCATTTTCTCACAGTCTGGATTTAACATGTTTAACATCAACAGGCATCTAAATGCCATTGTGTTCTAAAAAATATCAATACTTCAGACTCCAAGATTGTTCCAGATTTTCTTTTAAAGATAGATGCATCAAATTATTAACAAACTATTCATATGATTTTCACGCCGAAAGTCCTATTATCTTGCTAGACCCATTGTGTATGCACAAATATCAAATTATTAACAAACTATAGATTATGGTGCCAGACATCCTCTGAAAACATGGACAGATGGACAGATGACAAACAACTACCATGCCTTGAACTTAGATGGCTCTTTAGTCCCGGGGAGCTGAAACTGAAGACAAGAAGTTCTGCACCCAGCAAATAAATTTACGGAAATACTAAGTCACCTGTTTCACCTTCTCCAAAGAAGCAGCATTGTCATTGTTCTGTGTGATGAACGGTCGTGGGACGTGGTAGTTGACACGAGATGAACCATGAGACTGGTCCTTATCACGGAACCGAGATGATAAATAGCCGTATGAAGATTCGCTTTTATTGTCTCTCATCTTAGAAATATTGGATCTGTTTTGATCAATGTCTCTTAGTGGGGCTTCTGATTCCCTGTACCGAGACAATACAGAGGAAGTGTTCATAGACGAGACTGAGCCCTTGGCCTCCTGATCACTAATATTGGCCATGTGCGTTGAAGTGAAAGACTTGGTAGATTCCGGGTGAACAGCGAGTAAATTTGGAAATTCCTACGGGCCTGTCCAGGAGAGACTGGGACATGTGGGTATCAGATGACTCGGATCGACCAATCAGGGTGAGATTTGTTTCTGAATGGCTGACGGTACTGTCGTAATCTTGGTTGTCCTCCAGATCAGCCTCGAGATCAGATGGACTGAAAACATAAAAATGACCCAGTCTGTACTATCAGTCAATCATCAATAGCCAACAAGTGATTGAGTTTGGACATGGTGAGGGGGAGGAGGGGGAGGAGGAAGAGGAGAGACTGTTCATGAATGTTTGCCATACATTATAAGATTTCAGACTACACAGTTAAGGCATTTTGCCTACACATTCAGAGTTAACACTCGCCAGAAGTTAGTGTTTGCATTCTGCATTTGATCAGGCCTAACTTCATATTTAAGAGCAAATATATCCCTAAGAAGTGATGTGAGTGAAACTGAAAATCTGTCATTATTTACAAGCTACAATTAGTAACTTGTGACCAAATTTGATGTTTTTTGCAGCCACATGTGGTAAAGTGTCACTCTCAGAAGTCAGAAGTCAGAACATGGAAATGTTAATGTTTGAGAAAAAAAATAAGAATTCATTGGCAGCACTGGTAATAGGTAGCGATTCTACACAGCTTTTCATTTCAGAAATTCATTTTTGGTGAGTTGGTAGATGGGCTCATTAAACCCATCATGTTTGGTTTGGTGGTTGCTTAATGCCGCACTCAGCAATATTCCAGCTATATGGTGGCGGTCTGTAAATAATTGAGTCTGGACCAGACAATCCAGTGATCAACAGCATGAGCATCAATCTACACAATTATGATATGATGACATGTCATTCACCTCTTACGACAAGCATGGGTTACTGGAGATCAGTTCTAACCCAGATGTTGATGGGTTAAACACATGATGTGTCTTGTGTAAGTGCACACAGCAAAGTAAACATTCACCCCTGAGGTGTTAAGTCCTGCGACAGGTAAGAGAGTGAGTGAGTTCAGTTTTACGCCGCTTTTAGCAATATTCCAGCTATATCACGGTGGGGGACACCAGAAATGGGCTTCACACATTGTACCCATGTGGGGAATCGAACCCAGGTCTTCGGCGTGACGAGCGAACACTTTAACCACTAGGCTACCCCACTGCCCAAAAACAACAGGTAAGAGAAGGAACACCAGTTTGTCCGGTGGTTACTAGTCTGTATGCAGTCTTACCTCTTGTTTCTCCTTGTTGTGAATGTACTTGAATGGTGACTATGGCCCTGGAACAAAAGAAATAGGTTTGATTAAAACACAATGTGGTAAAGATTTCTAATGATGTAGGACATTTTTAAGCGTCTTGTGTGTTGGAGTGATAAACTAAAAAGTAGTGAGTGATGATCTGAGCAAGTTGGTGACTTGAACTATAGTGTTGGATCCCGACATGACGAAGGGGCACAACTGTGATTTAGGTTACAGTAACGACAAAAACTCAACAGTCACGGTTACCATGGTTACAGAACTATAGTGTTGAATCCTCACATGACGAAGGGGCACAACTGTGATTTAGGTTACTGTAACGACACAAACTCAACAGTCAGGGTTACCATGGTTACAAAACGCCAACATTCATTATTACAACCATTGGTAAATACTTCAATTCCCTTGTAAACATATGTAGCAGAGTCATTGAGTTGGTGGCTGGGTGTCTGTTTGATGTTTAACAATCTGCAATATTCCAGCTATATGGCGGCGGTCTGTAAATAATCGGGCTTCGACCAGACAATCCAGTGATCAACATTATGAGAATCGATCTACACAGTAGGGATATGATGACATGTGAGTGGGTTGGTGGGTTTAAAGTGAATAACTGATTGAGTGAGTGAGCAAGCAAGAACATCACACAGGGTGACACAAACACATGTTACCATGGTTACCCATTGCCGCAGGCTGTCCAACAACCACTTTTGATATTGACATAACCCAACATTGTACTATGAAATAAATGTAACAGTATAATGTGCAAACATAAACTAATTTGACTGCAGATACAAGCAGCAACTGGAAATATGACAATAGAAACCATGGTAACCAAGATATTATCATATCATGTATCATGTACATCATAACGGCTATAGATAATACTGTGACGGTTATGTATGTTGCAGTCATGAACACATCTCATTTGCACTATGACACTTGCCAGAGTCAGTATGACTCACACTAGTATATGTCACCCAGTAGGCTTGACGTTCACAGTTTGTGGGTGTGCCATTATGTTAGCGCTGTTCAGGTGGGCAAATTCTAAGGTGAAAATACCAGCAATACTGACATCCTGTTAATTGCGAATCAGGCTGTGATAAACATCACCTCAAGAAATATATGTCTTGACTGGAAATTGAGTCAGCATTTGAAGCTGGATGCATCACAGCATGTATCTTGTAACTAAAGCATTTATCCGTGACATAACTTTATGAAATATGTGTGCAAATTAGACATGCAGACTAGCTAACCGGAAGCAAAACATCAGTGAAATTATACCAGAGTTATAATCAATGAGACAGCACCGTCTTTGTTACCGTTATCAAAGTTTAATTTTTTTTTAAAAGTCTGTTCAAGAAAAGTATTTTTCTATATAATCTGAGGAACTTCTTTCTCAGAAAAGGAACATGCCAAAAAGGAGTTCACATTTTGTATAATTTGGTTCAAAGGACAATGGAAAGCATGCATCACTACACACCATGTATATACATAAATCAAGTTTCTGGTGTTAATTTTGAGGCATTTATTTCGTAAAAGGGAGGCAAGGAAGGAGTTTGGTTTTACGCTACTTTTAGCAATATTCAAGCAATATCACAGCGAGGGACACCTGAAATGGGCTTCACACATTGTACCCTTGTGGGGAATAGAACCCGGTCTTCGGCATGACGAACGAACGCTTTAACAACTAGGCCACCCTACCGCCCCCTCATAAAAGGGAAACTTTAACATGAACATGATACACAGAATTCATAACTCATGTTTTTTAATATGGGAAATATCAACCTCATTTCATTGGTCCATATTTGCCGAGACCTAACTACGACTCGGTGGATATTTCCCATATTAAAAACACTCGTAATGAATCCTCGTTTATGAAATGTATAACTGTTCCTACCCTGATAGTGGGCGGCACTTACAGTGTGATGCAATGTCTACTGAAGTGGTAGCTGACAACACTAGAGTCTCCAGTGGCTTCAAGCACCACTTCAGATAGCCTGCATCTCAAGTACAACAATGTTGTTAACAGCCTTACATTGTATCAGCTTGGGGTCTGATAACGCCATAAACAGCCCATTAAGTACAATATGTACACACATGCAGCTGATACACAAGCTACACCATGGAATGCTGGAATATAACAAGGCTAGCATTGATCACAGACATCACTCACGGTCCCATAACACTGATGATTGTCACAACCTGAGGATTTGCCTTGGTGGTTAATGGGAATACTTAACATTATTACAGGTCCTATAGTCAAAGTTCCTTTGTTCAAGCAGAGTGCAACATTTATCATTCTTCTACATTTCAAGAATTCAGTAGACACAATACTGTTGTTGTCTTCTAAAAGGTATCAGTTGCACATCTCTTGGAGTACCTTAAGCAGTAATGGGTCAGAATTTTCCTTGAATTATATTGTTAATTGCAGGGGTGGAAATAACTTTAAAATTGCTAGTGTACTCCGGTACAGTGGCACATGTAAAATCACTTGCCCTGATGATTTTTCCACTATACCAGCCGTTTTCTTGTTGATTCTTTAAATAAACAACATAATTAACATTGGAAAGTCAACTGGACACCGGTACAGTGTGATATACAAATTTGCTTGCCCGACAGAAAAATACGCTGGATTCGGGCGTCGGGCAATGGGTTATTTCCACCCCTGTTTAATTGCCTGGCTAAAATCACAACAGCACTTGAAATGAATTTCCCAGTCCTAAAGCATGTAAAGGGCACACTTAAAAATATCATTAATTTTCTAAAATACTTTTAAATGATGCATATTGAATGATGTTCGGATCAAGTAGACTTGTCTTATGTAAGAATAAAAAATGTATGTTGTTCACATGTTCGTCTGGTCCAAACTCTGTCAGTGTCATGCTTCCAGGCCTCCATACTTATATATACTACAGCTGTAATATTACTGAGTATATCTGGCATTAAACACACATAACAGTGTACATACTTTCAGCTGCCCTTTCTCTACTTACATCATGTCTCTCATGAACTGGTTTGTTTTTATCTGTGATTTCATTAAATGCTGTGTTTTTCTTGGTTTCCATGGCAACTTTGTCATCGTCATCATCCTCATCCAAAGAGTCTCCGGTACTCTGAAATGTACAAACACATCTCTGAATCTACGACACTCAGACTCTATATAACAGAGACTTCCTACTTCCTGTTTGTTGTTTAATGCTGCACTCAGCAATATTCCAGCTATATGGCATCAGTCTGTGAATAATCGAGTTTGGACCAGACAATCCAGTGATCAACAGCATGAGCATCGATCTTCGCAGTTGAGATAAGATGACATGTGTCAACGAAGTCAGCAAGCCTGACCACCTGATCCCGTTAGTCGCCTCTTACATCAAGCAAGGGTTGCTGAAGACCAATTCTAACCCGGACCTTCACGAGTCCCCACAGAATGGTGTGTGACTATTACTATATGTATGTATATATCATAAACAATATTTCACAATGTGCGACAGAAAGCAATAAAGTAAATTATATATTTTCCACCTTTACACTATATACCATGTATTCGAACAACACTTATTAAAATTTAACATGTTTAAAAGCATATTTCCTTCAACATCTGTATAGTCCTGTCTAGTCATGTTGATACCACACAGCCATGTGCAGCACTATCATAACTATACAGGTAACTTCCTTCAGATATCGTCATAAAAGTTAGGGACTATCGTTATCATGTTTTATATTTTTAATTAGAACAGTTATTAAATATATCTAATGTTAGTAAATCTACAATAGATTTGTTTCTCGTAACCTACACAAAATTCATCCCCACACCTTTTCCATTAAATTGAAATTTTGAAAAATTTGTTTCATCAGATTCCAACTTTTTGCTCATACCATGCCATTATAGTGTGTCAGATTCACTTTGAAATAATGCCACATTTAATTATATATAGCTCACCCATCTCCAAAGTTATCTAAAAAAAGCATAAAAATAAAGTTGTACAGATATGTAACATTACTCAAAAATGCTAAAACATGTTTCCAAAAACATTTTGTTCTTCCCTCTTGACCCACTTTTGAATAGTGATGAAACACAAGCCTGTGTTTTGGCCTGGCCTAATCATGAATATCATATATATTGTTCATACACTGTCCACACACATGAATTATATTGATTATTGATGAAACAGGGTTCGACGAATATGCTGGTCTCCCAGACAAATATCAGACCAGCAACGTGGCACCATGGTGGTTGTATGGCCGGAGGTACAAACGACATGACTCCACATTCAACTATTGTTAAACATTGCAGAAGAAATCAGCAGAATTATTTACTCATTATTCGGGACATAATGGTACAGAAACTTTGTGAAATTGCTTGAACTTGTGTTTTGAAGTAGATTAGGAATGTGGACGTGGTATTTGGGGGTTCTGAATTTACACTAAATTACAGAGCTGCTACTGATATAACTGACATGTTTCAACAGAGACTTCCAACGGTTGTAGCACAAAGAATACTCTCTTGGTCCTGATGACTCCCAGCAAACATCTCACCTGGCTACTCTGGCTACTCGGGTTACTCTGGCTACTGTGACAAGCAGACCAGCACTATTTCAGGTTTATTCTTGTACAGGTTTACAAGGCAATTCCAAGGTGTTGTTGTTCTTGTTAAAAGATCTATTCTATACATAAGAAATATAATATGGACTGGCATGACCATTTTCATTATTAGTAAGGGAAGCCATAAAAATTACTTAAGATTAGTCTCCAAGTTGATGAAGGTGGGGCACCACCTGTGGCAACTACAGACCACTACATACCATAATATTTCATAATGTTTCATTTTTCAAGCCTTGTAAACTATGACCATTGACTTTAAAAACGGCACTGAACAATAGATATAGTTGCTTAACAGTTTTGTATGATCTACTAAGGCAAGGCTTTATATATTCTGAACTGTGAGTTCAACTAATAAATATGCATTAAGAAAATAATATAATATTTTTTTAAATGGATAAATTGCTGACAGGTGTAAGCTTAACAGCCCCCGAGGTTAAGTGGCATTTCAAATTGATGAAGTAGCTGGCAAACAAGTTGTTACTTTGATAAAACGTTTCGATTTCAATCAACGTTGAATTTCATACCCACCCAAAATACTTGACAGCAGCATGTCAAGTTAGATGTTATGAGTGAGCATTGCTTCATTACACTTTTAGCTGTTTCATGAACCTAAGTAACCATGTAGGGAAACAAACCAGAGTATTCCACAAGCAAGCAAACGCCGTAACCGTTGAGCTACCTTGTATTCTGGCTACATGTTTTCTTAATGTTATATAAGCAAACAATATTTTTAAGAGTGAATTAATCCTGACAGGCAAACAATCAAAAAACATACTGAATGTAAACACCTTTATTATTCATTTCGTATGTTAAAGATAAAAATGTGCCATGCTTAACTTTATTGTGCCATGCAACCTAACAGAGCCTAATTGCAAGAAATAGTAACAACATAATTGACGCGCTGCGCCTTTATTAACAACATGTGGGCCCATGGTACATGGTACACGATATACACGCATACACTACGGCTCTCCAGCCCAAACCACAATTACCCAGTTCTCACTGATTGGGCATTGGTTAATAATAAATACTCACTTTGTCATTAACTTGTTCGAGACATGTCAGACATGTCAATGAGCAATAAGCTTTATAATGGAATAGATGAAATCAATATTTATATTGGAATATTTTCATATGAATTAGCCATATTGTTCAGGACTGTTAAGCAAGGTTATATTTAGAAAATATTTAGAAAACTTCGGCCATGCTGAGAATACATTTGTCACAAATGCTTTTGAAAAAAATGCACTGCCCAAATTAAAGCAAAGAAGCCCACAAATCATTTCAAAAGCAAAGCTTTGAACATGTTGACTGTTTGCAGGGATCCTTGTTTAGCACTGTATGAATTACTCATTGAAATCATATACCCGTTGGATATTACATTTTACAAATTACACAAATGTTAAGTTGTCATTAAAATTATTTGAAATCATTCATAGTAATGATGATGATTTGATGAAACATGGCAACAGCCAAGGTTAGGTCCTAACTTGCTTACAAGAGAAGGGGCGAGTGATACACTCCATACACACACATACACACAGTAAGGTTACACAATTCTTGATGACACACATCAACAGAGCGGTCGTGCTGTGATACATTTCATCATGACATGATACATATCAACAGAGAGGTCTTCCTGTGATACATTTCATCATGACATGATACATATCAAGAGAGGTTGTGCTGTGATACACTTTGTCATGACACGATATATATCAACAGAGAGGTCGTGCTGTGATACACTTTGTCATGACACGATACATATCAACAGAGAGGTCGTGCTGTGATACACTTTGTCATGACACGATACATATCAACAGAGAGGTCGTGCTGTGGTACACTTCGTCATGATGACATGTCATACATATCAACAGAGAGGTCATGCTGTGATACTTATATCATGACATGATGACATATCAACAGAGAGGTCTTGCTGTGATACTTTTCGCTGACATATATCAACAGAGAGGTCTTGCTGTGAGCGTGATACACTTTGTAATGACTCGATACATATCAACAGAGAGGTCGTGCTGTGATATACTTTGTCATGACATGACATCAACAAAAAGACTGTGGGGAGTTAAGTTCTATCATCATCTGGGATGATTCATAGAAACCAAATGAAGAAACCTTAAGCAGGTTTGAGTTAATGATAACAAGGCTGTCAATGTCTTGTAGAAAACAAGAAATAATCTTACAATTCATTTTCACTGAATGATCTTTGCCACTGTCATCAGCTCCTGACCTGAGCTTGGTATCTATATGCGACCTGACGGTACTTATATCATTATGACCAAGGCACATAGTGCTGCAGTGTACCACGTGACCTGTGCATCATTACACGGTCACCCCTTAAGGAAAGTACAAGTTACTTCCGATAATTACAAAGCTCTCTTCTATACAGCCAGGGAAATAACAAGCAACCAAAGATTTGCCTCATGTAACCACTGCCCCAGAATCCCAAACACCTACAAACATACCACTGACAGTAAGATGGAGGTGAGACAGGCATGTCAACATTATTACAGCTATAGAGAGATACTCTAGACATGTTTCAAAAGTTATAGGTGAAGCAATAAGCACATTACTTTAAAAGCATGTTAAGAAATGAATTACATGTCAGTCGTAACTATGTTATTACTGTGAACATCCGACAAAACATATGATTGAAGACTTTACGTCACTTATCTTAGGGTGTATAAAAATACTTACATTTGTCTCTTGCAGTATTTTTACGGGTGGGGGTTGCTTTTTCATTTCATGACTTTCAACTTTTTAGTAAGTTAGCATGAATAGCAGGAAATTAAGGTAGGCCAACTTTACAATCTTCTTTCTTTTAACTTATTTAAATTCCTTAATCATTTTGATGATAGAAACATGTCATACAATACAAACAATAAAAATACATTTCATATAGTACAGGTTGAAGACTAAATCACATTCTGCGTTGGTGCCAGAGAACATGAGCTTAAACATGTCCAAATACTGACACAAGCTGATGGAAACATGTTCACACTGATATGTCATAATGAAAGTTAAGATCTATGATGGAAAGACTACATATGAGAGGATAATATAATATATGTAATGACATGGCTGTCCTCAAAATTACAAAAGCCTTTTCTTTTGAATAATCATAATTTAATTTATTGAATTATTTAGTGGTCAAATGATCTATTAGTATTTAGCATACTCGGAGAAACGGAGAAAAATGTGGGTTCGTGAGATATTGAAAGAAGCATTGTTCTGTTAAATGATATCATATAAAATCATTTGTAATGTTGAGCAATAGATAATGCCATCTTCATTCTTTATAACAAGATACTGATACAACATCAAATTGCTGAGGGACACTAACAATGATGTATACCACGACTCTCATTTATATTCCACCTATATGACAGGTGTTTGGGTTACAAATTATAAACAGGAAATATATAATTTTGTTAAAAACTGTGAAGTCCCCATTGAATTACCAGCAACAATACTGATCAAGGCATCAGATCTTATTATGAGGCGTCAGCCATGTCACAACATTGGATATACAGTTACATGTTGTAGCAGTGAGAGAGATACAGTAAAGTACGATTTTCATACCCCTACTTCTGCTACAGACAGCTGTAGAAAAACATAATTGTAAGAGACATACAGACATAACAACAGGAACAAAACAAAGAAGCAAGCAAAACTCTTTAGAAATATGTAAAACAGGAGAAAACAGAAGCATGCCTCGTCAGGGTAATGGGTGCGAACACCTGCCTGACATAGCCAACTCAAGAATGTCACACGAACAGGTGATTAAAAGTTTAACAAATAATATGATAATAACACTTCCTCCACAAGAACAAGAACAGAAGAAGATGACAATCAATGCACAACATTTGCAACATTGTAGCAACAATTATATAATCCTAAGTTAGTATGATGTCATCGGAATGCTTACAATGTAGCTGGTTCCCTGTCAGTACTGGGGAAAACATTCAAATGTGGTGACTATCTTCCAAACAAACATACCTCAGTTGAAGGCAGGTGGACGACACCGGTACTCCTCCTTTTCTCCCTCAACTTTCTCTTGTCTTTCGGTAATTTCCCTTTATGTAAGTGATTTGGTCGGCTTCTTTTATCTTTGCTTCTGCCAACAGTACGCGTGGGCGAGTCGTGGTCTTGACTGAACGAGGTTGGATGGCCTTCCCCTCCCTCCCCGTTTTGGTCCCGACCCTCACGATCCACATGATCCCCTCCGTCCCTGTCCCCCCTGTAAAACATTCCTCTCCCTCGGTGTGTCCTTATCCTGTTTCTTTGTCGCGTCGTTTCAAAGTCCTCCATGTCTAGGCTCTCTTGACTCACTGAACTGGACGCCATGTTGACAAGCAAATGTACAAATTCGACTTCAATAAAATGCAAGATAAATTCACTCCGTCATCATAGCTAGCTGAAAATGAAGCACCGTGTAGAACTATTCATCAGGAATCCAGTCCGCTCAATGAATTTGCGTTGCTTATCGATTGTAGCCCACAACTTCTCGGTAAATTGACGATCAAACAAACTAATGCTTCCCGTAATCTGCCTCGTTTTCACTTGCACCTGCCTTCAACATGACGTCACCATTTCAACGTCATATTGCAAGGTACGAGAAATGTTGCGACAAATTCCCGACGTCTCGCTTCAGGTAACAGCTGCCTGATGAACTGAAAGACAGACAACGTTATTACTTTTGTGATATATGATGCTGAGATCATGTCGACACTTGTTATACACTCTTCCGAGTGATGCGCATTTTGATTAGTAAGGAATAGCATTATGATAATTAGTTCGATTTGGGATACTTATCATATGTATATTCAACAAGTAAATATACACACATCTTGTGAATGATTATTGACTAAACAATGAAAATCGTAATTACTAATTTTACATTTAAGAAAAATAACATAGCGTTGTATAGGTCAAGGGAAAATGCATGGTTTCAATCGGGAACATGGTATAAAAATTACGAACCTTTTTTAAAACGTATAATATTGTTTAAGTAAACTTTTCACTTTAGACTGGTCAAGTTGCTGTAAGTGGTCTCATGTGGTTGTGTTCCATATACTGCCAATCCCGACCCCACCCCACACCCCACACCCTAGACTAAGGCTAAGTCTCTGAATATATATAATTTTGATAGTAACAAACAAGCCCATTTAAATTGAAAAGGAGCCCTAGAGAGACCAGAGATTCCTGAACCTGGGGAAATCTAGACTTGCTTCGTTTAGGGCTTTAGCACTACAGGGAAGGGTAGGCTGTAGGGAAAATAATGTGGTTCAGGGACTGTGAGACAGACTACCCACACCCCCACACACCCCAACTACCATCCCTCGTCTTGTGTGTAACATTTACCACGACCTCTGCTCCTCTCTAGAAAAATAGTTTCTAAATAATGTTCGTTTTCATAATAGATTTATTTGAAAAAAAAGTTTAAACTGTGTCGCCCTTTAATTCACCCCTCCAAATTTCGGCGACACTGACTTTAACCCGCTTTCGCTGTGTCATTTTCACTACCAGTACCCCTCCTAATCTCAACACGCATGCACGCACACTCGTATAAAAACTCTAGCTTGGGAATATACCTAGATGTTCACGCTACTATGAGAAATACACACTGAATGAACGTACAAGCATGTGTTAAAGCTTGCGGTTATAACATATAATTATGTTACACATTTACGACAGTATGTATCATCATATAAATATGTTTCCAATCAAAGCATGTTTAAATTTAGAAACCATTAAAAAACACGCATTCCACATGTACATGTCTACAGAAATTATTAAAAGCATGACTCGGGCGTTACCACAAGATCGGTAAGTATCAGCTCCACCCTAACTAAAGGCGATTAGTCACGTGCAGTGCGTCACACTATTAAGTAAATACCTATATACTTACTTATATTACATTCGCGCGAAATAAAAATGACGGTGCCTGTTTATTTCATACGCTGAGCGTTCTCATAATGGCATTATAATCATATCGCTATGTTACGCAGCAGGATTACCAAGCACTCCTCGACATATAAGGACAGGCCGATGGTTGACGCTGAGGTGGTATACCTCACCATGTGCACCGTCAGTGACATGACAGTGTAGACACGCTAATGACTGACATGTGATTGATGGATCATATTTCAATTGCAATGGACACTCTTTAGCTCGAGGTACTGAACACAAGATCAAGCTGTTTTTAAAGCGAAGACAGTTAATCAAGCTTACAGATCAAATGTTCTAACAGTTTTATACAATCATTTTTCAGGATATATTTGATGAGAGTTTTAACGGAATAATAAAGCATATAACTTTATGAATCACAACTTCTTGTGTGTTGCAGCGAGCGACTGTTCGGTGTAGATTCTTACAAAGTTTTCAAGCTAAAACTTGTATGCTTTATTATTGATTCGCCAACTTCTTGAATGCCGATCAAACAATTTAACGGAATAGGTTGTGTAAATATGATCAGACAGAAGAGAGAATCACACAATATGCTCTATATCAAAATGCGGGTAAGAGACAAACATAAAAGATCTGTCGAAAGGAAGAATGCACTTGAAAATTGCTTTGATAAAAAAAATACAAACATTATGAAAACTGACGGTAGTAAGTTAAAAACCGAAACACTGCAAACGTAAGGCCAGAAACAGATCTATGTCCCCCGTACTCGTAATGTGCCAACGAATAACCACTTCTTTAAGTGATCAAACACAGGTGTATACGTTCTTTCACAGCTGACCGCAAGGATATAGACGCGTTTCAAGAACTTCAGGTAAATGTATCCTAAATTAGTTGCCAGCTAGAGGTTAAAAGACAGGAATACAGACTTATAGTTGGGACACGTGTTTGAAAATCATGTCAAGTGAATATCTTCTTTTTTTTTCAGTCGGAAAAAGTTTTTTGTTTGTTTGTGTGAGGACACCAGAATGTAACAAAACAGCTCGTGAAACAAGTAACTGGTTGAACCATTAATGTGCATTACATTTATTTTGCTAAAGCCAGACATAAATGTCAGATATGTTTTCCTAACTGATGTGGTATTAATTTCCTTGTATTTTATTTTCGAAATGAATCGCTTTGCAAGACACAAATAAATTATAAGTTATAAAATATATACAGTTTGACTGAAACAACGGCGTTTTGCAAATTAGGTCAGTGCTACATGCGGGGCTGGCATGTCCGTGGGATACAATAGATTGATGTGTCCTTAATGAGGCGAGCAAAGCAGCTTCAGCGACAGGTGTCAGAGGCGAGATATACCACAGACAGCACCTGATGACTACCACATAGCCCGTTGTAGCAACTGTGTGGGGCTGTTTATGTAATTAACCTTATATGGTCATAGATATCACGCGCTGATGACAATGTACATGGCAGCTCGATTAGATCAGTCATGGAGTTGACAAGTTGATCGCCGAACAAAACCCGACAATGACGTAATGCAATTAGAACTACTGAATTGATACGATGCAATTAAAAGCGGTGTGATCACAAGAAGCCACAGATATGCTAGGTTTACACAAGTATTCTCTCGGCCATTTGCGTTTGGTGGTCAATTTTTGTGTTGAAAAGATAGTTTACGTGCTTTGGAATACGTTTACAAGTATACCTCGTCACGTTTAAAACCTGACATTGCATAAATCTGGAGCATGCTTAAAACGAAGATTGTTGTCATAGAGGTTGGATAGTGTTACGTGATCTGTGAGTACATGTACGGTGAATGTATATTAAGCATAGTCGTTTATGCAGAGTCGGTACAGTCTTTATAATATTATGAAGATTATATAACAGAGATTTTCTCCTCAGCTATATAGATTACAATAACAGTTTGTGTGTCACTTGTCAATCTGTCACCACGCGGATTTCGTCAGAAGCTCTGGCAAATGTGGATACCGTTACACCTCTTACAAGCACTAGTCTCTCATATAGTACCGGTTCCCAATTGCGTAGATCGATGCTCATGCTGTTGATCACTGGATTGCCTGGTCCAGACTCGATTATTTACAGACCGCCGCCATATAGCTGGAATATTGTTAAGTGCAGCGTAAAACTAAACTCACTCACTCACTCACTCATGTAGTTCGATATCAATCGGGATCAAGGTATACTAGAACTATACTCCTTCGAGTATAACGTCCTATATTGACAAATGTGTATGTACGCCGATTTAACTCAGTAACATATAGCCAACATCATTTCAGTTTTACACTTGTAAATACCACAGCCTTTTCCACGGCTGTTACCGCAGCCCAGCTTCACTTGAACCGGAACCGTTTTGGGTAAGTAAGTGTGATTTGAGCAATATTCCAGCAATATCACGGCGGGGGACACCAGAAATGGGCTTCATACATTGTTCCCGTGAGGGGAATCGAACCCCTGTCTTCGGCGTGACGCTTTAACCACTAGGCTACCCCACCACCCTGGAACCGTTTTGAACGCAGGTATATCAGTCCATGTTATTCATGACTTAATGGCGGATCATGTACGGTAACACGGTTCATCTAGACATGCCGCATTGGTTAGGTCTCACTTACCCCAATGTCAGCACACTGATTTGTTTGGTTGGTTGATGTTGTTGTTGTTGTTGTTGTTGTTGTTGTTTAGCGCTCAGAAATATGCCATGTGCATGAGGACGATTTGTAAATAATCGAAACCGGACCAGACAATCCAGTGGTCAACAGCATGAGCATCGATCTACGCAACTGGGATACGATGACGTGTGTCAACCAAACCAGCGAGACTGACCACCCGATCCCGTTAGTCGCCTCTTACGACAAGCATGAGATGATGAAGATCAGTTCTAACCCGGATCTTTACTGGTAATCATGACAATGTACTTCCGGAACTAGATTTAAGAAGACTCTAACACAAACTATAAGGCCTGAATGTTGTGTTATAAATAACCCATCTTCGATTGTCGAGGGTATTATATAATGATAACGGGAACCATGGCCTCGACACCTCATCGCGACGAAACCCCGTGAGTCGAAATTCAAAACAACGCCAAATCAGGCCAGTCAATTACAGCTGTATGTGATGCCTACCCACTTCATCACAGTGTTTCCAAACACGACTTTTGCCATCTGTAATGTCGAGCCCCGATTCGTCACTCAAAATGAACATGTCCCCCGTGACATCCCAATGTGACCCCTTCGGCACACATGGCACAACTGTGTCATGGTGTGACGTTGTCCAGTCTAAACTTAGCCTCAGTATTATTCGTTACACCGCTATATACTGAGCCTAAGTACACTAAGACTGGACGTTGTGCCACTGCTATATACTGAACCTAAGTACACTTAGACTGGACGTTGTGCCACTGCTATATACTGAGCCCAAGTACACTTAGAGTGTGCCACCGCTATATACTGAGCCTAAGTACACTTAGACTGGACGTTGTGCCACTGCTATATACTGAGCCTAAGTACACCTAGACTGGACGTTGTGCCACCGCTATATACTGAGCCTAAGTACACTTAGACTGGACGTTGTGCCACTGCTATATACTGAGCCTAAGTACACTTAGACTGGACGTTGTGCCACCGCTATATACTGAGCCTAAGTACACTAAGACTGGACGTTGTGCCACTGCTATATACTGAGCCTAAGTACACTTAGACTGGACGTTGTGCCACTGCTATATACCGAGCCTAAGTACACTTAGACTGGACGTTGTGCCACTGCTATATACTGAGCCTAAGTACACTTAGACTGGACGTTGTGCCACTGCTATATACTGAGCCTAAGTACACTTAGACTGGACGTTGTGCCACTGCTATATACTGAGCCTAAGTACACTTAGACTGGACGTTGTGCCACTGCTATATACTGAGCCTAAGTACACTTAGACTGGACGTTGTGCCACCGCTATATACTGAGCCTAAGTACACTTAGACTGGACGTTGTGCCACTGCTATATACTGAACCTAAGTACACTTAGACTGGACGTTGTGCCACTGCTATATACTGAGCCCAGCCACCGCTATATACTGAAAGTACACTTAGACTGGACGTTGTGCCACTGCTATATACTGAGCCTAAGTACACTTAGACTGGACGTTGTGCCACCGCTATATACTGAGCCTAAGTACACTTAGACTGGACGTTGTGCCACTGCTATATACTGAGCCTAAGTACACTTAGACTGGACGTTGTGCCACTGCTATATACTGAGCCTAAGTACACTTAGACTGGACGTTGTGCCACTGCTATATACTGACCTAAGTACACTTAGACTGGACGTTGTGCCACTAAAAGCCTACTTAGACTGGACGTTGTGCCACCGCTATATACAGAGCCTAAAGCCACTGCTATATACTGAACCTAAAGACATTTGAAAAACTACATGAAGAAACAGAAAAGCATTTGAAAAGAAACAATGCTTAATAAATCCAACAGGGTATTTGTTTGATATCCCTGATATGTTCATCCCCGGATACGGAAGGAGAACATTGCCATAGCAACACAAAACCAGAGCCCCAGAGGTACGGAAGGTTACCTTTATTACATCACGTGGGTGATGATGTGCTAAACGGTAACTAGATCGTCTTAAAATCATGCACTGTGAGAGAAAATAGTTCCATGAATTATACCTATACCTAGAAACCCATGAGGATCCGGCTTAGAACTGGTCCTCAGTAACCCATGCTTGTCGTAAGAGGCGACTAACGGGATCGGGTGGTCAGGCTCACTGACACATGTCATCGTAACCCAATTGCGTAGATCGACGCTCTTGCTGTTGATCACTGGATTGTCTGGTCCGGACTCAATTATTTACGGACCGCTGCCATATAGCTGGAAATTTTATGAGGGCGGCGTAAAACTAAACTCACTCACTCACCTTTTCCTAGACATTGTAATTATAATGCCTGTTTTGATACTGGAACAACGTCTCTGTTTTTTTGGGACTGAAACAAACTGATAGATTAATAATCCTCATTAAAAGGTTGATTTAATCTTGATACAAAATGGTGTATGGTTTCTCTGTAAAACTTTGAAAGGGCACGGATGCAAGTGCAACATGTATTCATGTTAGTTATGATACAACATATAGTATGACCAGATATTATTGAGAATTAATTGGATTTCTAGTATAAACAACCTTGACCAGCTATCAAGTGCTTGGTTTCATTCAAGAGAGACAACTCCGTTAATCCTTTTCATTAGTTTGTGAAGAGTTATCCCCCTTTGTTTACTTGCCAGCAGACGACATTTTCAGTGATCCTCAGTATGGATGATTTAGAGAAGAGAAGGTTGATTTTAGAGTATTATAACAAGGACATCAGATCAGCTAAAGTGATTTCGAGTAGAACAGGCATCCCTGTGTCCACTGTTTATGGTGTATACATGTATGCAAATGGATATGGCATTGAGCACCAGGGAGGCGCAGGTAGGCCCAGAAAATTTGACTGTCGGTGACAGTAGGCGGCTTGGTATTCTTGTTTCTAAAAACAAACGAAGGAGTTTAGAAAACTTAAGGATGGATATGATTGATAGAGGAACTGTGGCTGTCTGTAAGGAGACAATTAGAACTGAGCTGCATGCAATGGTTTGGCAGAAAAGTCGAGAAATTCCATCACTGATCATGAAACCTGAACTAAAGGAGCGAAGGTTGAACTGGTGCTTACAGCATAGAAATTTTAACTGGGAAAATGTGATTTTCTCATATGAAAGTTCTGTGTGGCTGTTTCCTAATACACTGAAATTCTGGACCAAACAAAGTGAAAAACCTTTGTATCAGCGCCCAAAGTACAATCCTAAATTTAACGTGTGTGGTGGCATATCTGTGTTAGGGGCAACGCCCCTCTGTGTATTTGAAGGGAATATGAACAGTGAGCGGTACACAGATATTCTCGAGGGACATTTATTTCCATCTGCTCACGTGTTCTATGGAAACTTTTGGATTTTCCAGCAGGACAACGACCCAAAACATCGTTCAAAGCATTCACAGGCCTGGTTTCGGACCCAAAATATGACATTATTAGATTGGTCAAGCTATAGCCCTGACCTAAATCCAATAGAAAATGTTTGGGGACTTATGAAGGAAAGTGCCAATAAGAAAAATCTGACAAATATTGCTGAAATGAAAGAAGAGGTGGTCCGATATTGGGACAGCATGGACCACGACTTTCTAACTTCTTTGATCAGTAGTATGCCCCGCCGCATTGAAGCCAGCATTGCTGCCCATGGTGACTTGACAAAATACTAACTGTACACCTGTCTTTGAATCTGGAGTTATGTTCTGCTAATGTTCACATTTAATAGGTGAGTAATGAGTGAAAAAAAATAAAAATTACAATCTATAAATTCTCAAAAATTTCTGGTTGTACTGTACATATTGTTTGTCACATTACATAGGCGCAAAGCCGTCTTGGGCGCAGCAAGTCGTTGTGTCCCAGAAGCACATGAAGTTGGGTTCGAATCCCGGTTCGATATGATAATGGTTGAAGGTTTGTCAACGCCATTCACGCGTTGATCGGTTTCACCAATCTATGGCAGTCTGTATGTAATCCAAGTCTGAACCAGACAATCCAGTGATTGACATCATGACAATCGGCCTACGCAATTGGGATACGATGACATGCATCAAACAAGTGTTAGCAAGCTATCAAGTTTGTCGCTTCTCATGGCAAGCATAGACCGCCTCCGTGGTGTAGTGGTTAGAGCGTCCGCCCGGAGAGCGGAAGGTCGCGGGTTCGATCCCCGACCGCGTCATACCAAAAGACGTTAAAATATGGTACTTGTTGGTCCCTGCCTGGCGCTCGGCATTAATGGGTAAGCATAGGTTGGTGAAGACCAATTCTGACCCGGATCTTCACGGGATCTCACAAATATGAATATACATTGTATGTAGTGTATTAAATTGAGAGGGTGTACTTTCAGAAATGTCTTTTGACGAGGAGCATTACGTCCATGGAACCAGGGAGACTATATAACATGTAGTAGATTATCCCTGCTGGAACATAAACGATTACATCACATTTCTGACTAATACGTGCTGTCCCAATAGTACTTATCCTCCGTACTTTCAAATATACGGCAGCTTAAGTTACATAAGTGGATAGTTTGAAGATCGTGAACGCAAACAATACATTCGAATCCTCGTAAATAAGACTGTGTTGACAATTTAAGTATGGACACTCGATATGACTGTATATGACATGTACTCCGGTACATACAATGCATGCTAAAACGGGATGAGTCACGGGCTCTCGTTACGACACAGGTTGAAGGACTCACCTGGCCGCTCACCTGGTTTCTCACCTGGCCTATTTGCATTTCAGACCGGCTTTGACATGTAGGTGTGACCTGACCGGTGGACTCAGGGGTTAAAGGTCACCACGACCCGTTACATGATCGGAATGCGAGCGGTGTTTTCAAGTGCAGGATGTCCTCAATGGCGGAACAGAGGGGCGCAGAAGATCGGATGACCTGGTTCTTGACCTGGTTGATTGGTGGAGATTGCTTGTAATATCACTGGATTGTCTGGTCCAGACTCGTATATTTACAGGCCATGAAGCTGTAATAATGCTATGTGCGGCGTTGCGTAACAATACTCTTGCCCTGAACAAGCGTTTGGTAAACGAGGACGAAACAGATGGATGGAATAATTACTGCGTACAATTTTGTAGCTCAAAAAACAAACAAAAATATAATTTATTAAAATTCATGCAATGGACGGTTTAGTGACAACTTTGAATTACAGGGCTCATTAAATCATTATTATCAGCTGATTACTCGTGTTTCGTTAGGAATGCAGCCAGTTAATGAGCACCGAGGAACTGTCATTTGTCAATGACTGACTGACTGAGTTTGGTTTTACGCCGCTTTTAGCAATATTCCCGCAACATCACGGCGGGGGACACCAGAAATGGGCTTCACACATTGTGCCCACATTTGTCAATGAATGTAATAATAAGCCAGCCTGTAGTACGTGGGTATGCCGATATATATGTATATCACTCAAAAAAAGTTAAGAAACAAATATAGTCAATCTGTTATAACCATGTCATGGTAAGTATAGTCAAGTGGTAACAAAACGGATGTTCCCAAAATTATTTTGAGTAGTATATATTTTTCCTCCAGAGGAACGGGCTGAATTAAGAGCTGACAACGACGTTGATTGGATGGTCACAGTGATCGATGATCCCACTATAGCCACATACTGAACACGTATTGAAATTGTGAGTTTATGTTGTGTCGAACACCTCTCTCCACACACAAAAAGGGGTCACTTTTATAGAGAATGAGGGCTGTTGATAGAAAGAAAGGCATAATGATTCATTGATTAAATAGGAATTTCGGATTCCTATGTGGATATATTACAAATCGTATTCTGTTTATAGTCCTGTATAAACGTTTACATAACGTTGCAAAGGTCATATAGCATTGTTGACGTCATACGACAGTGTTGCGAACGATATATAGTACTGTGAACCTCAGCATTATGATTTATATTGTGTGTTGAGCGTCGAATATAGCGAATATATCAGTGATAATGATATATACAACATTGGGAACGATGTAAATAACATTGTTAATGATGTACATATAGACTTCTTTCGAAAAAATGTATATAACGTTGTTTATGATATATATAGCTTTTGAACGATGTGTATAGTATTGTTAAAGATGTATATAGCTTTCGATAAAATGTGTATAACGTTGTTTATGATATATATATAGCTTTTGGAATGACGTGTATAGTATTGTTAAAGATGTATATAGCTTTCGAAAAAATGTATATAACGTTGTTTATGATATATATAGCTTTTGGAACGATATGTATAGTATTGTTAAAGATGTATATAGCTTTCGATAAAATGTGTATAACGTTGTATATGATATATATAGCTTGGGAACGATGTGTATAGTATTGTTAAAGATGTATATAGCTTTCGCAAAAATGTGTAATACGTTGTTGATGATATATATATATATATAGCTTTTGGAACGACCTGTATAGTATTGTTAAAGATGTATATAGGTTTCGAAAAAATATGTATAACGTTGTCAATGATATATATAGCTTTTAGAACGACGTGTATAGTATTCTTAATGATGTATGTAAAAATGATTCGGTAAAATGTGCATAGCCTTGTTAATTATGTATGTATCAATGTGGATCACGTATGTAGCATTACATTAGCTTCTAGCCTTGTGAGTGTATTCTATTCTTGTGAGTGATGTATATATCGACTTGAACGTCGTAAAACAACGGTATGAACGTTGGGTATATACATATGGACGTATAGGTCTGTGAGGGTAGCCGCTATAGATTCACGAAGTGTGTATATGGGCTTAGCCAGCAGGTGTGACGGTGTTAACATCCGGGGGTGAAATGTCTATCCTCCACGATGAATGCTCATTTGGTCGGGGGTTACAACCACTTTGTCATATTTACGCTACAGAGGACTCTGACGTTTTTAGCGGGTACAGATTATTTCATGAACGAGTGACCCGAAAACGATACATTAATATCCAACGCGTGTCGCCATGTTTACCAGTAGGTGCTGCAAGACTGTCGCATCTGTTGACTGAAGAGAAGTTCCCCCATCCACGCACAGGCCGGTGCGTTTGTGGTGCTGGGGCACGTTGTGACAACACGGAGACGTGATCTTCGTAGACTGACCTCCACTACAACGACTACACACTGGAACGCTTACTCGTGGCTCTGGTTTCGTTTTTGTAGCGAAAGTGTGTGGTTTGTGGTCAGACATTTAACAAAATAATTCTGTGCCGACACCTTAATCCTTCCAACATCGTGTTGACATGTGTATGGAGCTTTGTTCTCTGAAAACATGAAGCCGTCACTCGAAGCGAAACATTGGTTTTGTTCATATTGTGAAGTGTAGAAGAGGTTATACAAACTCTATACAGTGAAACCTCAGTTTTCCGGACCCTAGACTAACATCTAGTCTCCGATACTAACACATGTTACAGAAAAAACAGTTCCTAAATCTTATTCATAAAATGTAATATAAAAGGAACTCAGTAACTTTGGATGTAATCGTGTCTTGCCACATGCTGTAGACTCGAGTGGGTTGTATTGGGTTTGTATATTGTGTAAACCGGAAACACGCCTTCCGGACCATGATGCACTTGTTAACCCCCCTGAAACCACCAACCCCACACCACCACCCCATGCCCCAACCCCTGACAAAACCCCACCCTTCTATGTGGACTTTAGTCATTTTCAAGGGGAGGGGGTCCGAACCCCCCCACACCCCCAGATCCGCCAATGCACGCTGCTGTCTGTATTATACTAGGGAAGTGTTTGCTGTTGTATTGAATGACACACAGAGAACACTTCCGTCCGTCAGTCAAATTATATTTACATGTACAAGATTATTTTTAATTGTCAAACATGTTAATAATATAATTAATTCAGTCGTCTTTGAATAAGCCATGATATAAGAGCCATTTCGAATAAAAATCGGCGTTACAGCTTTTGTGTGAATGGTGAGTGAATGGATTGTCTTGTTTCGTAAACATTTCCACCTGTATCCCATTAAATTACTGTATATCTTCGGACTGAGCTGTCACCTGGCTGCTTAGATTTGACTGTAACAGGGATTCAGAAATAAAATTTAAATTGCACAAAAAAAAATAAAAAATAAAAATATATTTACATAAAAATAACTTCTCGAGTGAGTAATGTTGATTTAACGCCGCTGTGGACAGTATTCCAGTTATATGACTGTATGTCAGCTTGATGTGAGAGGAATGCCCCATGTGATGCAGGTGTTTCACGTTTACCACTTTGGTGAAACCCACCAGTAATGGTATGGTGCAGCCAAACCTAGAACATAATGGAGCAAATCGGGATTCCAACTCATAGGGTCCTGGGACGCAAGGGACGCAACTCTGTACAGCAAAATTCGGTGCCTTAGACGAGGCCACCAACTCCAAGAAAACAATATGCCATGGAACATTGCAAGGACATATAAACTGACCGGCAAAAGAAAGTATACCAAAAGTTACCATTTCTCAAATCTTAAAGAAATATTTTGTAGGTAAATTATACACTGAAACATGTCGCCCCAACGTAGCAATTTGATACCTGCAGTGAAATTCACGTGCACGTCGTGAATAAAACGTCGAAGTGGTCAATTGTATAAACCATGATTTTGGGCCTCTGTCAGAGTTTCACATGCACTAAGGGTATAAAAATTAGTGTGCGGACATGTTACACTTGCAGTTTGAAAAAGATCACCACAGATATGCCACGACTATTAGCAGTTGAACGTGAGAGGGTCATAGGTATGCTCGACACGCCAACGCTGCACCCGTGTAGCCGCCTCTAGACTGCTGCAACGTTACAGTGAGACGGATCAGACACAGGACAGACCAAGAAGTGGGAGACCGCGAGTAACAACACCATGCAGCGGAAGACCGGCATTTGAGGACGTTACACCTGAGAAACCGTTTCCTGACGGTAACGTCATAAGCGTCGAATTCCTTGATCACCGTGTCAGTCGATACACGGTGAATAGACGTCTTCGGGCAGCAGGTATCAGAGCCTATAATACAGGTCCTTGAAAGGACAGGTGTTGACCCCTGAACACAGACGTCACAAGTTGCGTTGGGCCCGAGTTGTTCGCCGATGGCAGCGATGAGAGGAACAACGTGAATGTTCTACAGTGGCCAGCATGTTCTCCATACATGTCCCCGATCGAGCACATGTGGGATGCACTAGACAGACGCGTGCAGAAACGCCCTAACCCACCACAGAATAAACAGCAACTTGCACAAGCCCTCCAGGACGAATGGCGTCGCATACCACGTGACCTTGTCCGACGTCTGACGTCTATGGCTAGAAGGAGGCTGCGTGCCTGTATTGATGCAAGGGGTGGGAATATACAACATTACCGAAGTTGTCATCCATAAATTGTCCTTGTCTTAAAGAGGTTTCAAGTTTTTAATTCAAAGATCACGCGAACTCAGAGCAGCAAACTGACAATAAGATTATAACTATTAGAAGATAAGTCAATAGGCACACTTTTCATATACCTCATGTTATTTTTACTTCCGCATATTGAAAGTATTATAGAAAGTAGGTTGAACAAAGTCTGGTTTCTCAGAACAATAAACTATTTTCCATGCGAGGATTAACAGAAGAGGTGAATGTAAGCAGTAAGTATGACATCGAAACTGACAACCCCTCTCCTTTGTTGAGTTTGTCTGCCGCGGTGTTTAACTGGTTGTTATGGCTAGAGCGCCGCAGGTGTCCGAATCATGCGTTAATGTCTGACACTACCATGTGACGTGCACTGTCTGCCCCGCGGGCTGTCCTCGCTTGGTGGACGTGCAAGGGGCTGTCACAGCGTCAGATATGTTACATCAGCTCTAAATATATAGTAGGCTATTCCCAGAAATTATTGAGAAAGTTGTTTCGGCAAGTATCTAATACGTGTATATAAACCATAGACGTTTTACTTAAATGAATATGTTGAGATATAGTTCTCTTACAATCTAAGTGTCTTTAAGGTACTTTGTGAGATCCCCTTGTCCTGTTATACACGACTGAATGCGCCAAGGTACACTACCGATCAAAGTTTGTAGGAAATCGTTCTAAGTCCTCTTTGGTTTATTCTGTCTTTCTTTTGTGTATCTTTTATCAGTGGTGAGAGAATTCCGCGCTTTTTCACCCAGTTATAATTAAGTCTTTGTAATTCTTGTCTATGGGTTTCATTACATACCTGAGGACTTCCTCTATTAATAATCTATTTCTGATATTCTCAACACTTTTCAATTTTCCCCTACCAGGGGCGTAGCCACCATTATGAAAAACAGCCCGGGCTTACACATGATTGTTGCTAAAAAGGTTGTGCAAGCCGTCAATACTATCTATATGTAAAGCTTTGCAACCTATCGGGCTTGCTACCCGCCTGCCTACAATCTGACCAAGTCACCCGTGATCCGTAGTACTGAACTTCCTTGGCCTCCCTGCCGCTGTCTTCTGCTCAATCCCAACTCCTGACTGAATATTCTTCAAGTGAGTGAGTGAGGGTGTTTAGTTTTACGCCGCACTCAGCAATATTCCACCTCTATAGCGGCGGTCTGTAAATAATCGAGTCTGGACCAGACAATTCAGTGATCAACAGCATGAGCATCGATCTACGCAATTGGGAACCGATGACATGTGTCAACCAAGCCAGCGAGCTTGACCACCCGATCCCGTTAGTCGCATCTTACGACAAGCATGGGTTACTGAAGATCAATATTCTAACCCGGACCTTCACCGGGTAGAATATTCTTCAAAGTTCTGTATACTGTAGACAGAAGAATGTTATGTCTACCAGCTAACTCTTTTTGCATTAGTAACACTCCTTTCAAAATCATCTAGAACCAGCTTTCTTGTCTCTTCTGCTGTCAAATCTGCCATGTCATTAAAGGAAGCTGTCTGCTACACCAGGGGAGATAACTATTGATGTAGTAAGGCCCATTCTTAAGCCTACAAGAGTTGCAAGTGAAAAAATAGCAGTGATATTGTACTCTGTACTGTACTCTGTACGTACTATCCGGCATGGGACGCTAATACGGAGCAAGTTGGGGGTGGGGCATTGTCCCTTTTTCTGGTAGGGAAATGTGCGTATGGTGAATATTGTCCTGTAGAGAAATGTGTGAAGAGGAATTTTCCCTCTATTTTGGGGGATATGTCTGTTGGGAATCGTCATTTTATTGGTGGGGATATGATGAATATACCCTTCACCGATGAAGAAATGTCAGCGTAGTGAATCGACCCTTTATTAGTGAGGAAATCACCTGTGGGGAACTGAAGGGGACATATGTGACGGGGGAATTGTCCTTTTTAGGTGGGTAAATGTCCGTGTGGGGAGTTATGTGGGGAAATGTGTGAAGGGGGAATTGTCCCTATTTTGGTTGGGAATTGTCCGTGTGGGGTTGGGAATTGTCCATGTGGGGAAGTGTCCCTTTATTGACGGTGAAGTGTCCGTGTGGGGAATTGGCTCAATATTTGTTGAGAACAGCGTTCGAAATTTACGTCGGTCCTTAGGCCCGCTGAAGACTGAAAACCACTCGGATTCTTCTCATAACAATGACTCTACTCTGACATATTCTGACTTTCAGAAGACTTGGATCTTGACATGGATGTTGACTTTGCTGTAAATGAAGACTTAGTTTAGTCAGTCATCAGAGTTGAATTAAACTCTTTAAGTCAGTTTGTTAGTTTATGCTGGGAATTTTATGCTGGGAATTACTTATATTGTAGCTGAAAGATAGGACCTACATATTCTGATCAGGACCCACAACTTGTAATGGTTCTGGGTCCTTAGGGCCTGCAGCTTTTCAGGGTTAAGGGAAAACACTGGTGGGAAGGTGTCCCAACCCATGAATATGTCTGTGTAAGCAGCCTCGCCAAGAAGCATTACACCAAGAGAGCAAATAGATGTCACCAAAGCAAATTATGAAATGACGGAATGTTGCTGCATCCGGACGACTTCATACAAAAGTATATTAGGAATTGGTCGGTATTCCATTGTGCTCTCTCACGTGTCTTTAACTACAGTCAAATATCATTGTGTTGATGTTTATGGAACCAAAGTAAATAATTCGAGGTATCCGATGTTTCGAATTAATCGCAAAATGATGACAAAAGAAGGAATAAGCAGGGGCTCGATTTTACTCGAGACAACCGTAGGTTCGACACAACGGTGTGTGTGTGTGTGTGTGTGTGTGTGTGTGTGTGTGTGTGTGTGTGTGTGTGTGTGTGTGTGTGTTAGCCTAGTGGTTAAAGCGTTCGCTCGTCACGCAGAAGACCCGGGTTCGATTCCCCACATGGGTACAATGTGTGAAGCCCATTCCTGGTGTCCCCCCCCCGTGATATTGATGGAATATTGCTAAAAGCGCGTAAAACCATACTCACTCACTCACTCACTTGACACAACGGTGTGTGGCGACTTTAACGACTGCATTTACCCACTTTTATTGCTAAACTGTTAAACATTAGAATATTCCAAAATATTAAATATCTTAAAATGCTGATATGAACTTAATTTTGTATAAATATATTGATTTGAATTAAGAGCATGTTAAATGTTTGAAATACAGAGAAACGTTATATAATATACAGCTAATACATGCAATAATTTTCAACCTCTCTGACAAGCATCCATAGTCCTCTATTCGTGGGGCACTGATGTGTTAGTACCGTTTGACGAATTAGAGACCAGCTTTACACATTCCTGTATTGAAGAGTACAGTTTTTTAAAGGAGCTATTCAAGGAAATATTTCAAAACATTACAAATCAATATCAACCGTCCCCTCAACCCTGGTGTCTATAGAATGTACAAAGTTATTTGATATTTCGTTTGCTTGAGATGATTAAGGTAATCGGGGATATAATACTTTATTTACAACAGTAAAATAGACATTTCACCAGCCAGCGTGTATGTGTCAATTAAGTTTGAAGATGCTTAATATAGAACCTGGCTGTGATAATACTTTTCATATAGTGTTTGCTTCCATTCATATAAGTCATCCTAACCACCTAGACATACAAAAACACCGAATTATTTGCCACTGTCAGCGCTCAGTTGCCTATTTCTATTCGAAATATGTCTGTCATCTCAATTCCTTCTGAACTGAAGCTATTCCCAGTTATGTCCGAGATGACACAAAATACACAAACTATCTCATCTTGAATGCCTGAATAACTCCCTGCCGCTACTTAAGGAAGTCAACGGGCGTGCTATATTACTTATATTCCCCAGTGAGGTCGTGAGACTTCGACCTCTCTTTTCAAGGTATATCTACTTTTCCTACCGTTGTGCGCGGATACGCGTCGGTTCCCACAAACATGAGATGGGGCCTGTACTTTGACATAATTTAACCCACAGTTGAGATGAATTGAAAGGAGGAGACTCTCTAATCCAGAAAAGATGATTGTCCAGACTAAATTCCCCTGTAATAATCGTACTCAGTGGTGTAAAAACATGCGTCGGTAAGGGACGGGTGAATTACCATGGTGCTTGTAGTTTACCCTCGATTCATGCATTACAAATCTGACAAACGACTCATCTCATCCGTAAGAAACAAAATAATCACCCTTGTGCCGATCCCTTTTGAGGTATTATTTGGCGCAACGACCCTCGGTTACCATGGACGTCTTTGTCGCCTAATAATACCAAGGCTCTCCAATCACTGCGTAGATTAGCCATCCTTACACGTGCAATAAATCGATAGTCGGTTCGAATCCCAAATTTGCCCCAATCAAGTTTCATGGTTTTCGTTGCTTTCAGTACACTTACACAGATGACAAAGACCTCATGAAATATAGTTCAAAGTGACCATAAACTCACTCACCAAATAATGATAACTTTGAATATATGTGCCACAAGATGAGCCATTTATGTTCGGTGATCAGGAAGCTAGATTACTGGAGGGTTCAAAACTGATCGAAGTACACGTACAATCTCCACTAAGTTCATTTCAGTTTCTTTGGTTGTCCCAAGTGATTTAGGAAGGTTTCATACAATGAACCAAACATTCTTGTATTCAGTTTGATTTGTTTGGACTAGAATGCTGACCCCTCTTGGAGACACATTATACTGTTTCTGTGCCCACTGTTTGTTTCGTCTCCTGAATACACCATACTGGGTACTGTCTTTTAATGTCCTTTGGCATGACACAGGCAGGGTACCAAACCAACACCATGAAAGCCTATTTGAAAAATGACCTAAATTAATCAGGTTGAGAGCAAGGGCAACAATCCACATCACTGGGTAGTGGACCCATGAAGGTCCGGGTTAGAATATTGGCCTTCCGTAACCCATGCTTGTCATAAGAGGCGACGGGATCGGGTGGTCAGGCTCCCTGACTGGGTTGATACATGTCTTTGTATCCCAATTGCGCAGATCGATGCTCATGTTGTTGATCACTGGATTGTCTGGTCCAGACTGGATTACTTACAGACCGCTGCCATACAGGTGGAAGATTGCGGAGTGTGGCGTAAAACTAAACTCACTCACTCACAGGGTAGTGACACACAACTATCCATGTCACACTAACAGTTCTCATTAGTTGCCTCATCAAGAAGACCCATGGAACTATTCTGCCTCAATTCTCACAGTATCATTTTATTGCAGTGATTGTGTATCACTCCACAAGAAGTGGCAGACAAACAGCATGTGCAAGCAATGTGCCAAGCTCAGTCATTGTTAAGTCTGGTGGCTGGACAGCTTGTGTCTGTTCTTCCTGCTAGTTGCCCAAAGAAACATATGTAAACATAATGGTTTTGTTAAGGTGATGTGTTAACATATAAAGCAGGTGCTTGTTGAGATTCTCTTTCATAAACAAAACACAAAAGACAGAGTCAGATTAATTAGGGAAACCCCAAACAAATTTATTTAAGTGGGTAGGTAATCTTAGTGCTATACATTCCTAATGTTACAATCATTACTGATGCAAAATTAACACATATTCACAAAATGGTGAATGAGGGAGCGGCCCCGGACTGACCGCATACAACATCGCAACATCCTCCGACAGTTGGGTCAAGTCTGTGTGCAGACATCATATTATGGTGCAAGACAACCTCTCTCTGTAACCACCATCTGAACCCCTGCAACCAACGTCTCTAGCAACCCCGGATAATTACGCAAGTCTCCATAGCAACACTTCTACATAGGTCCCATGTTTCTGATAAGATACATCACAGTTTCTAAGCTTCTCCTGTGTTATTTTGCAAGTAAGGCAGTCTTCAGCTATATTTACTACACATCTGACACTGATAGTGTCATTCTACTCTCTGGACACAAGAGTGTCAGCAGCTACACTTGCCATCACAAGTCTAAGTCTATGATCTACAGTACTCCCAGCTTAGGACACACAAATCTTCCACTGCCAGCGTTCAGAAATGTCTTCCTAATCTGGTAGGACAGTGCTTACCTGCTCTGTCAGAGAATTCTATGCTACATGGAAACTCACATTTAACTTGTACATTGTATGATTGATATCGTATATTGTTAATCTGAGGATCGATATCTTAACTGGATCGGCTCTGTAATGAGTAACCTAAATCTGTCTAAAGATGAAAGCCTTGATCTTGTAGTGGCCTGTCTTCTCCTAAATCAAACAAATCACACAGACTGAGATGAGAGGGCACAACAAGACCAAGTCTCCAAGGAAAGCATCTCCCCAGGCTCTTCAACCAACTCCTCCATTTCATCAGATAACAAGCATTAGCACTATGTCATGTGTAGCACTAGATGAACTTTCAATAAATTAACACTCCAAATACAAGAACCATAGAGCCTGAAAATGAGTCTTGTCCACAAACTTCTTGAATGGTTAATCTGTCACAGGAGTAACAGCAACTGGATAAACCCCCAATCACTATGGTATCACTATTTGACAGAGCAGGCCACACAATCTATTTCCCTACTGCCAGCTATCTAGGAGCTGAGTTCTACCCTGTACTGTGTGAGCCTAGATCATCCACTGGACCAATAAAAGTAGCTTCAGTCACTTCAAAGACCACCAGAATGATCCATCCACAACAGCTCTAGAATAAGGCCTTAGTCATCATTGATGATCCAAAGATCATCCACTACCACCAAGATCATTGATGTTTTCTTTGCACAGATCAGCCTCACTTTTCCAGGTTATGTTTAAACCTGGCTAAATGTAGGCAACTTAATTAAAAGGATCCAAAACAGATCCCTATGTCACAAATGGGACCAATGGAGATTTTTTCAAGACCACCTGTTGGGTCATCTCAAGGCACACCTCCAGATCTCCTCAATGACCTACTCCTGTACAGTTTCAACTAAGGATTAGCTAGCTGCCTTGATGCTCTCAAGCAAATGCAGATAGGGTGCCACTAGAACTTTTGAACTGCTCTTTTACATAGAGCCACTATGTTATCAAGCAAAGAGCACCAGTTGGATGGAAAGTCATGTTCCCATTCTTCTGAGCATATTTGTTGGCAAAAATGTCAACAAAACAAAAACCCAAACAGTGAAGGTCAGCATAACCTTTGTGGGAAGCATCTAACAGAAACTCAAAAGGCAGTGGACTTTGTTTGAAACATGGTAAAATTTCAATGAGAATCTTTACAAATTTACCTCATTTTTTCAAAACAAAGAAGTCCTAAAAGATACATACTCTCAAGATCAGGTAAAGGTAACATTCAAAGAAAGTCCTCTGGACAAATTTGATAAAAAAAAATATATTCATTGACCGAAACTGCCACAGACGTTCTTCAACTCATTTGCAAGCTCGAGGTCCAGCGTGTCACCCCGAGGCCCATCACTGCCTAAGGTTCACTCGGCCAGTTGGATCCATCATTGTCATAGCAACAAAGCCACTTGGTCAATGCAAACAAGAAGCAGGAGCGACACATGCAGATTGGTTGAAAGAACATCATTATGGTAAAAACATTAAAGGCATGCTGTAAACTCGGACTGTTATCTTGTGAGTTCATGATTAGTGCACTATACAAGCCTTGGATCCAACGTGTCATTCAAGGAATAATACTGTGAGTTGAGTTTGTAGTTGGGTTGACATCAACCATCCTCAAGATCAACACCAAGTATCACATGATGTACAGCAGCTCACTGACTCATGAATCACTAAGATTTGAGGCTGGAGTTTCCAGTATGCAGATGCTACTCTGAATGTAGTCTTGTTAATGGATCAGTAGTGCAAAATAAAAATAATAATTGGGCAAAGGTTATGCTGAGCAACACTGCTTAGTAATTTGGTCTCAAATCACATGCAAGAAATAACATGTACATAAGCATATGGGATTGATCATATCAAAACCCTTATGCAAAGTACATATTATCACTCTGCACAACCAGGTCTATGGCTCTAAAGTAGCACATTTCTAGGAAAAAGCGTTACAGAGTTAATAGACAAGTCTGTACAGAGTTAGTGCTATAAAATGCATAAAATACATCATTGTCCTGTATGACTGAAATGGCCATGCTTGTTAGTGAGCGTGGCATGCAGACCCGCAGTCCAACATGTCACTACGGGGAGCATGATGGTCAGAGTCACGTCGATGATTGGGTGTTGTTGCCGTCATCACAACATCACCTAAACATCGTCGAGACAGCAGACGTCAACTATTGTGCATGCCAGTTTATCACAACAATCACGGCAGACAGCAGACACAAGGGCCAGATTCTGAAACTAGCTGCCCAGACACAATCTTTAGCTGATTCAACTGAAGACATCAGCAAAAGAGGCATCCTGAAGGACCATTATTTGCAGAGTCTGGCTCCTGATATGTGAATTGTCCGCAAGCTATCTTGTGGTCTGGCAAAAAAATTCCAGCCATATGCAAGCCTTAGATCCAACATGTCACCTAAGGAAGCTTAACATTAACGTCATCGGGTTGGGCAGGGTCAAGCCAAGAGTGACCTTGACCTGACATTGACCTCAGTTGACATTCATGATAGCGCTGGTGCACATAACCCAAATATTGGAGCCAATCACCAACAAGATATCATGCCTACAACTCTGAGCTTGAAATCGGCAGTGACCTTGAGTGTAAAATACCTGGCAAAACCACCAGTTTAAGTACGAGTGTTTGTGCTCGCCAAGGTCACTGCTTACCTGATCTACGTGGACTAGTGCTGGGAAGGAAGATACAAATGAATGCCTTCTCCCAAAGCAGCACTTCAATTGATTGTAGTAAGTAGTACTAGAGTGACTCCCTCATAAGACGAGGGAGAAAGCAGCCATGGTGGTACCTTGAACTCATCAAGACGAAATAGTCACTCAACTCATGCACACCAGTCTTTCACTCTTCTTCCACTCACAACAACACAAAAATAGAACATATGCTGCATATAAAATCTTAATCTCATTTTGAGATCTGTGTGATCACAAAATATACTTTGTATAAGGGGTTTTGATATAATAAATAATTTCCATATGAAAATGTACAACATTATTTACAAATGCATGAATATATACAGATTGGTAAAAAAAATGTTCAGGAATACAAAATATGAAGTATAAACAATGCTTAAATGACTTAAATAGAACTTAATCTCAAAAGGTGCAAATATTACATGCTATTTGGCTCTTGCTCTATTTTGAATTAAGTCTGATGGCCATGAATGAGGCAAGCTAGCAGTCTTTTACTAGTCTGTATTATCCTGACCTTGGCACAAGTGGGACCCTATGATGGGTAAGGGTCAGCAGTTTGACAAGATTACATGTACTCCCAGAGGTTGACAGCGAGATCGCTTCCGATTGGTCAATGGCCAGTGACCATGTGACTAGTTGATTATGCTCTCTGTGTTGGTTGGCCAGATTGTTTGGAGGCGGAGTTTAGCATCTGTCAGTCAGAGCACCAAGAGAGATGTCTGTCTACATATCACATTGCACATAAGGGAACGAAATGCAACTCAAACGATCAACGCAACGTTCCAACTATGTCCTACCACTCACTGAATGACTAGCACTTTTAATGACACCCAATCCAGGCACTATTCACGTATTCTTTCATCCCCAGCTTCCAGCATAAAACATTTCCCACATCCTAATACTGCCACTGGCAAACTCGAAACAGCTAGATAAAATGTACAAGCAAATAAATTTCAAACATTCTAACTGTACATGTAACATGTGATTGCAAAACTCGCAGAGTTTCATAAACACTATGAATAACTAATTCACACAACATTTGTTGAAATTATCACATTTGCTTACAGGGTTGTCGGTGTTGCTATGGAGACTTGCATATGATCGTTTTAGCACCATGTTCACAGTACTGTGTGGTTGGGGGTTCTCTTACTGCACCAGAATGGTCATGTGTCTTGCACCAGGTAATTCTGCGGGGAGGGTCGTCGGAGGACGTCGCAGCAAGTGACAAAACTTTCTCAGGTAAGCAACGAAAGCATAACCAGTAGTTAATACCAAGCTACTCTACATTATCATAGGAGCTCAGGGCTCTGTACTATACATGTATTTATAATCGGTTCAACAAACAACCATGCCATGCAAATGTTTTGTCCCCGAGAGTCGCTTCAGTCTCCCGTACGGAGATGCTCGTGTAGCTGGAGTAGGACTTCAACCATGACATCCACAGCTTCGAGAGATCAGACTTGCCTCTCAACCATGTGCCTTCGAAAGTTACCTCCCCTTCCACAACTCTGACAAATATCAGTTTGATTGGTCTTGCAAGACTGAATTCCTTTCCTTGACAAAGTGGAACTTAACAGGGACAAAATGAGAAACAACCCGACAAAATAAAGGAAAGATTAGCACATCCTTAAATTACAGCATCGCGTACTGTACACTCCACCTAGTTCAATATTTCACAATACCATTCCAATATGCAGACATTCTATTCATACAACACAAAATACACATCTCCAGACTATGAGAGTCTAGCCTCCTGGCAGAGGCTGAACAAGCTTTCAATATTTTTTTTGTATTTTTTTGGCAAACATACAAAGGAAAGAGGAAAAAGAGGAAGAGGCAAAAGGAGGTATGTTAAAGGTGTAAGCAGGTTCGTAAATGTACATCCAGTGCCTGCAATGATAACAGAAGCCAGAGATCGCACATGTTCAGATCAAAATTCACAAAAGACAACCAATCAGATCAAAGTGTTTTGCCTGCCTCTGACAAGCAGTCTCAATCAAAACGGTGATTTTGAGTCACTAAATCCACTTATTTCAGATGTACATTCACCTTTGGAGCAACTGATTTCAGATGTTTGAATATTACTTGTACTTCTCCCAGATAGAAATTCTGCTGAATTGCGACAGAAAATGGATAAACAAAAGAAGAAGAGAAGAAGGAAACAAGTTGTAGGCCTAAGGATTCTGTCCTACAATTGGTAAGAAGTCAGTAAAAATGGTATGGAAAACAAGGAATTGCTATTGAAGGCAGTAAGGATTCAGTATTAAGGTTGGTAAGGAGTCAATATTAAAGATGTTAGGGATAAGGATTCAATATTACAGAGGCCAGGAAGTGGGAAGGTTCACATCAAAGGATAAAATACAGACACATAGCTGACCACCCTTTTGCCCTTGGGGTGAAGGGCAGTCTCTCGAGAGGTCAAGGTCTCGAGTTGAGAGGTCAAGGTGATCTCGTGGGCTGCTGGTATAATACTACGGCCTGGCTCGACATCGAGTGAGAGGCTGGACAGGTAGGCAGGCAGGCAGGCAGGTATAAAACAGGAGCAATGGAAGACATTAATTAAGTGTCTTTAAAATCCCCAATTGCACCTTTGTAATGACTGTCCTTGGACCTCTATCCATGATGAGAACATTATGAGTAGGAGAAGAAAACAGCACTATTTTGATAGTTTGCTTATGACACGGATTAAGGCTCCGTTTTCCTCTCGGAGGCGAAGGTTATCGTTCTTAAGGCTGTCCATTTTCTGAAACATGAAAACAAGCACAAAATTAGCTCAGTCAACTGTATGATTCATCTGATGTTCCTTGTCTTGTTTCTTTTTCAGTCTCTTGTCATGAAATTTTGTTGAAATTAGTACTGATTAGATGAAAGAAATACTCAGAGATAAAACAAGAAGCTAAATGATTCATCACTTGAAACAAAGGAACAGGAAAACAAAAGATACAAAATAATATAAGGAAATTTAACCTTTATCTATTTCAGAAGATTTTGTTAATTAATAGAGAAGATAAAGCATAGATTGTACATTTCTTTTCATATTATTTACCTCAAACCAAGAACTAAGACACTAGTTGAAAGTTAGTTATTACAAACCTCAAGACAGGGCAGAAAACATTTGTGACATGTCACCACAGTTATGAACAAGAAGGGTCGAAGACTTGAACAATAAGCGACATGGAATGAATGGATCTACTCTGTCACTGAATGAACACCATCCCCAACACTGGACACGATACAGTGGGGGCTTGAGAGGGCGTTTGTTGGAGTGAGTGAAGTCTCATACCACTCCTGGAAAATATTCCAGCCATGTGGGGGCAGTGGGGTAGCCCAGTGGTTAAAGCGTTGGTTCGTCACGCCGAAGACCCAGGTTTGATTCCCCACAAGGGTACAATGTGTGAAGCCCATGTCTGTTGTCCCCTGCCGTGATATTGCTGGAATATTGCTAAAAGTGGCGTAAAACCATACTCATTCACTCACTCCAGCCATGTGATGTCAGGCAGCACTGACAGGGGCTTTTAGCGATGTAGGAATATACCCCGACTTTAGTCTACTGACTAGCCTTCCTATTGTGTTGAAATGTAGTCATTAACCAATGCACATACTATTAGCCAAGTCACAGCAAAGTGAGTGGTGGAATGTAGTTTTGCGCCACATTCAGCACTATTTCAGTTATCTCATGGCATAGTTTTCTTGGTTGTGTAACACTGTACTCAGCAATATTCCATTACATGACTGTAAATAATCCAGTCTGGACCAGACAATCCAGTGATCAACAGCATGATCTTCACAATAGGATAACGATGACATGTGTCAACCAAGTCTGCGTGCCTGTTCACCCAATCCGTTTAGTAACTGCTCATAACAAGCATGGATTGCTGAAGGCCAATTATAACCCGGATCTTCACATGTCCTCAATGGTGTAAATAACTGACAGTCGACCACTTCAACCATTGGTCGACATCAATGCCCCATGCTGTGTTGGTACACTGACAGTCAATCAGAAATTTTGCAGAGCCTGACTACCAGACTCATTCTCACTGCCTCTGATGACAAGCAGTAAAGAGGACCAGCCATCACATCTTATCTCTGTCCTAACATGGGCACAACTGACTCAACCATCTCATGTGACCCAAATCCAAACACAACACACAGTCCACTCGTAACAGTATGAAACCCATGAAGGTCCGGGTTAGAATGAGCCTTCAGTAGCCCATGCTTGTCGTAAGAGGCGACTAACGGGATTGGGTGATCAGGCTCGCTGGCTTGGTTGACACATGTCATCAGTTCCCAATTGCGCAGATCGATGCTCATGCTGTTGATCACTGGATTGTCTGGTACAGACTCGATTATTTACAGACTGCCGCCACATAGCTGGAATATTGCTGAGTGCGGCGTAAAACTAAACTCACTATTAACTAATGAAAATTTATTATAAACGCTGCATATGTACAAATTTACAAAATTCCCACATACGTCATGCAGTAGTGTGCACAGTCTGTTTGTTGGCTGAACCTGTCGATTATTTACAGACTGCCGCCACATAGCTGGAGTATTGCTGAGTGCGGCATAAAAAAATCTCACTCACTCGTAACAGTATGAAAGATGACAACATTCAAAATCAGTAAAATGCTAACACCCAATGCTCATCCAAAAATACTCTTACAGATGTAGTGCAGAAAACTTCAGTATCCAGTTCCCTGGCTGACAAACTCCAGGAAAATCCATGGTGTCGTCACCATGACTATTTTAGTTATTTACGTCTCATGTACCAGTACATGCACCTCTCCATTCTGGTTGGAAACTGCCCAAATACATTGTACTCATCATGCTAGACTTGGGATTAGTATTCTGGTTATAGCTCTTAACAGATTCAACAAACCACGTCTCTGCCTACAGAACAAATTAGAACAAGTTTATATGCATCATATGCACACTACGAATAACCAAGAGCTGAATGGGAAATGAATATAAGAATTATGGAAACATAATTTAGTACTGGATGAAGATGTCAATGTTGTCACACACATGAATGATATGTGCTGCTTGTATCTCTGGGATGATGACAATGATACAGCATATGATCTGGTGATATGAGAGTTAGTTCTCGGTAACACCTGCCCAGGTGATAACATGCCTGATGTGTATGATCATTTCTACAAGAAACTTGCATCCTTATCTGCAGTGCCTTCCATGACAGCATCATTAACCCAACATCACAGACTTGCTATGTTATTTTGGAACAGATTCATACACTTCAAATAAAAATAAATTGGGTTGGGTCAGTCCCACTGTGAATAGTATTTCAGTTATTTCATGGCAAAAAATTGACACAGGTCTTCAAAATTGATCACACTGCTGAAACCCACAATTAATGGTAGGGTGTTCATAAACCAAGCTTCATGAGAAGCAGGTCCTTACATGTCTAAGGGAAATAACTCTGCAAAGCCCAGACCTGGAAAAAGCATGGATCACTTACACCTTACATTATCGTCAGTGTAAGTATGAAGGGAAAGTTTCACAACACTTTCAGTAAACTACAGTGTTATGACAGCAGGTTCCCAAAATATTACCAAAACTGTGGGATCAGACACAATTCAGGCAGGTATAGGTTTCTACCAAACACCTCTCCTTGCTAATCTGTTTAACATTTCACTTCAACATAAAACCTATGCTCCTGTATATTTTGGATACTACAAAACTGACAATTAGTCAGTATCAACTTGACAACTTACCGTGACTACACATTGTGAGTTTGAAGACTATAAAGATTTGTCACAGAAACTCATGACTGTACATATACAAAACTTGATGTGGTGCTGATACATTGTGATGAATGAAAAGACAGACTTACATAGACGTGCATAACATGTAAGCAGAGAAGCTGATGATTTATAATAAAGACAGATTACAAATGATTAGTTGTCGGCAGGGTAGTATATTAGGCAAAGGCTTGAAACTAAGTATTTCATTGAATTTCTAAGAACAAATGAGATATGGTTTTCAAAATGATTTCACTGACATTTCATTCTTTTGATTTTAAGTAGATTTTATGTGTTTTAGTAAAAACAGGACGAACTCTACCTGCTTCAATGAACAAAATTGATTTGAGAAAACATTTTAATTTTGTTCTAATTACATTCAAATTCTTCCAGTTGAAAAATATTTTTCAGCTGACTACAAATATGTAACAGAAAATTGGATAAAAAAACCCAACATCATGTTGAGGATGTTTATAGAAAAAAAAGAGGCTGTAGCTCACCTGAAAAATATATGAAGTAAACTTCAAGAAGTAAAACACCCTTGCAACAAAGATAAAATACTTTCCTCAATTTGGATTGAATATCCTTTGATTATCAGTATAAACACTTGATTATCTGTATAAACAATTGATTATCAGTATAAACATGTGGTACTCTTTGAATCTGCTTATCAGTTGATATAGGACATTTAGATGAAATGACATGAATGGTAGCAATGGAAAACAATAGCCTGACCCATGTGAGCTGTCAATGAGTATATAGGTTTGTGGCAGGCTGTGCGACGGGTAAACAGCTGACTGGACAGATGGACGGACGGACAGATCACCATGGAAGGCACTGCGTGAGGGTTAGTCCCACCTAGCTGTGTCAGTAGCAAGGCACCAGTCGTCGTGATTTCATACACTTTCGTATACCAGGGATATCGTCTTAACTTTTGAAATATCAGTCTTGAAAATCCTCCTTTACCATTCACTTTCATCCTTTAATAAAAATACTACCACTACCAACTATCTACCACAAATCTACCATATCATATCTCAGAAAACATATAAAACAAGTTTTTTTATGTGCATAAATACATTGGCACATATACCAATAAATCGAAACCACCCTCAGCCAAAAGTAACTATTAGCATAAATAACTGTAAAGTAAAATTCAATTTAATCAGATAAACAAAAATTAAAATTAACAGAAAAAGAAATTTTACAACTACACATTTTCACATGTTAATGTATTAAATTGAAGGAATAAATATTAATTTGCAACAAAGAATACGGACAGTACTACTATAGAGTACTATCTGGTTTAGTAATGTTAAGATGAACTGCATATTCATGAAGTAGACATGTATATACTGATGCTCTCTCTCAAACTATACCTGATCAATAACCCACTACCACGAATCACCAAATCATAAAACTAAACTACAATTTGTACAAAACTCGAATTCAGGGCTACTAAAAACATAAACAAAATGACATTTGACCCAAAATCTTCCCCTGTAAAATTTGACAGACTGGTTGAAAGACCATGCTTAGTAGAAAATAAAAGAAAAACTTCAATCATGCTTCAAATAAAACCGCCTGTCGAAATATACGCTGACTGGGTGCATAGGTCCACAGTATTTTACCTATTTGGACAGTTTGGAAACGACTCGCGTCAAGGCCCTATTTTCATCCTTAAGTTTTGCATTATCAGCTTTTAGTTTGTCCATAAGCTGGAAAGGTAGAGAAGGAGTTATGTAACATACAATCTGATTGGATGATGCTTGGTGGTCGTCTCATCTTGTTACATACAATCTGATTGGATGATGCTTGGTGGTTCATTCATTCAGTTGACAAGTCAGCACATTATATAAGAAGGGATTGACAAGAGAAAGATGAGCAAGTTGGATCTAACAGTAGTTAGGCCAGGTTAAAGGTGGCGAGTGCTGGCAGTTTAGCTAAAATAGCCCCATCTAGGACTGAACAGTGTACCAGTACATATAGGGATACAGTCAAGATCACACTTTCAACTGGTTATTTCATGCACAGAGGTGCTCAATTAGACAAAAAGGTTAAATTGTTTCTCGTTAAGGATACATTTTATAACTTTACAATATCAGGCTGCAATAATCACGCATCAGGTTTCCAACTCTGCCACATGGCGTTGAGTAAATAGGTTTTGTGCAGACTACAGAAAAATTACATTATCACAAGCCATGCTCTTTTGTGGCCATCTCATCTCCAACTTGGTTGACTTACTGCAGCATAGAGTGCTGACAACTCACAAAACTTATCTTATATTCGAACACAAAATTGTCAGCTCTGGCTAAGTTCAAGAATGTATGGCTCCTTGTTTTGGCAAAATGTCCAAAATTCTTCTCCCCACTAATGGTCAATGTTTCAGATTTGTTAGATTTCTAGGACACTGACTAACTGTAATCCGAATCTGTGGTTCTTTCCAATTTCTAGTGATGTGAATCATTTCGCATGAAATACTGATCAAATCCTGAAAATGATCTAACATCACTTGTGTCAAGCAAACAGAAAGGGCATGAATTCCTCACTGTCCCATTTTGTCCTGCCTCCAGTTCCTAGTGTGTGCTACCTTGAATGTATCCCTACTGTATCAAGGACATAATGTACACATCAGGTTATTCTGTGACAGACAAACTTGCCTGAAACTGCCAACAACCCTCACCTTTAAGCCAGACTAGAAGCTTGAGAGATATTTCCAGAATGTTTATATATTTAGAAGTATGATACAGAACTAATAGCTAGCTACATCTCATCCTACACAAGTCCTGCCAAACAATACTCACCTTGAGTTCTTCCTCCAACTCTGACACTTTTCTCTCCAATGCTCTCTTTTCCTGAAAGTCAATCAGAAAATTCACTTGATATATGAACAATAGACACACATAGAGTATCAATAACATGCTGTTGTTGGCTTCTAATACAGGCACTCCGAAAACACAAGTCACATAACAATGAGGGATGGCAGTGACATATATGATTAAAACACAGTGAGTGAATGTTGTTTTATACCAAAGTCAGCAATATTTCATCCACATCACAGCACCCTGTCAAGGAAGAACCAATCAGACCAGTACTGGTCTGACAAGGATGGTTGGTTGGTTGGTTAACGCCGCACTCAGCAATATTCCAGCTATAATCAAGTCTTGACCAGACAATCCAGTGATCAGCAGCATGAGCATCGATCTTTGCAATAGGGATATGATGACGTGTCAACCAAGTCAGCGAGCCTGACCACCCAATCCTGTTAGTTGCCTTTTACGACAAGCATGGGTGCTGAAGAATAGGTACAGCATGAGGACTTGCCTTTCGTGGGACAGATTAATCACAGGGTCATTGATAAAGTTTATAAACTGGGTTTATATAGCATTGGAGTCTGGGAAACTGCACACTTGAGTATTACAGAGGGAAGACTTCCACACAACATGCAGATCTAGTTCCCTAACATTATAATCGTAATAGTAAACATTGATATCAACAAATATTTCCTTCACATCATATGACAACTGTAGTTATCCAATGCTTACTGTTTATATAAAAATATTAATGAGATCAACTATGATCCTTTAAGAAATAGCAACACTTAATAAATCTTATCCTTTTTCCAAGTCCTGATACAGAAGTATACATGAGTAGATGTTGTGATTTGCTCCACGGTTGCTGATGCAACATGTATAGGAAATATGAAACAAACTCTGAAGTAGGCATTAATTGCATAATTAAGCTGCTGTATGTGTGAGACGGGGGGAAATACAGAAACTCCCATCATTTCTGTATTTCACAGGGTACAAACATGTGAATGGGTTAGTGAGGATAGGAAACACAACCAAACCAATACCTTCACAACCAAACTGTGCGGTTTGCTTACAACCAACATCCACCAAATATAGCCTTTTAACACAGCTATACAATTTGACAACTTGGTAACACCTGTTCACAATACCATTTTAATAGGCCAAAAGTGTCTTCCAGGGTCAAATGATTCCCCAGTTTAACCAGTTGAGCTCAAAATGGGAAGAACATAATGATAAGTGCAATCTCTTTACTTCCACAATTATTGATCATTTTTGTTGGCTTGAGCTGGGTGAGCCCTGCTCTAGACCTGCTTCAGCATGTGGGCCTGCTCTAAGCATACTCTATAGGCTATGTCTCAGCTACTAGGCCACCCCTCATGCAAGATTGGTGTTAGTGATATGTTACTTGATCGCAGTCGAGAGTGGACTCGGATAGTGGTGTTACCCTCTTGTCGTTGGTCTCAGCTGTGCGCGTGCAGCGTCAGTGTGTTTTCTCATCATTTTGTCCAACTCTGTCTTTGCATCCCGAAGCTCTCGCTTCGTCTGTTCTAGCTCTCTCCGTAACCTCTCATTCTCAGACTTTTCATCTTCATACAGCTGAAAAGGAAAACTGATCATTAGAAAAGAGTTGGAAGTACACAAGCAATCAGAAAAGCCTGTTGAGACAAAGATTTCGGGACTGCACTCATTTCACCTCTATCCAATGGCAAGACAGATGCCAGTGATGACTATCTGGTGAACATGATTGCTGTAGCAAGATCAGCAACCATGATGCCAAACATAAAGACAATCCACAAAGAGGGCAACAGATACTGGACCTTAATTCAGTATCTTTAAAACACTAAAATCTAACCTGTAATGACCTATTGTTCGAAAAAAGTATTGTTTTAGTCATATATAAAGTTCTTGATTCATATTTACTGTCAAAGCAATTTTTACCAAGGGCGGTATGAAAACACCCTTGCCTTGTCTTTTCTCATGGATGGTGACAATGATTCTCATAACCTGATGATGTTGACTGCAGTGAAAACTACCCATGAATATGCAATTGATTAACATAATACTGTAACCAACTGTGGTATAAAGTTACATAACAGCATATTATAACCCACTGTGGCATAAAATGTCATGTTAACATAATCCACTGTGATATTATTTGACAGGATAAAACAGCGAATGAGTGAGGTTTGATCAGTGAGTGAGTGAGTTTAGTTTTACGCCGCACTCAGCAATATTCCAGCTATATGGCGGCGGTCTGTAAATAATCGAGTCTGGACCAGACAATCAAGTGAGCAACAGCATGAGCATCGATCTGCGCAATTGGGAACCGATGACATGTGTCAACCAAGTCAGCGAGCCTGACCACCCGATCCCGTTAGTCGCCTCTTACGACAAGCATAGGTTACTGAAGGCTCATTCTAACCCGGACCTTCACGGGTTGAGAGAGGTTTGATGAGAATTTAAGTAATATCATGGGGAGACAGCTTGATGGGGAGGAAAGCCAGAAGTGATGCAGATGTCAGATGTCTACCCTTTTATTGAAAACCTCAGGCTGAGGTATGAAGCCAACAAATTTGGGAACATAATCACAGTGTACCACAATCAAAGGCTTGTAGCCTGCCAAAGGGAAACAACTCTGCACACCTAACTGAAGATTGGGTCTTCCGTGCCCTACAAGTTATATATGCAGTGTGGCATAAAAGGACAGGTTATCATAATCGACTTTCATGAAACAGGCTATGATGCTCCACTGTGATACTGCAGAACTAGTTATCATAACCCAATGTGACGTGAATGAATAAAACTGGTAATCCACTGTGATATGACATTATATCCCATTTATATAACAACTTCAAGGCTCCAGATAAGGGCCGTATCGGCGTTTGTACGAATGCGGTAGGAAATAATTTAGAAAACGTTAGCAGATACGCACCACGGCAACAGTGTATGGTCTTAGAGTCATTTACAGACGTATTTTCTGAATTTTCTTTGTTTTATTGTTTATAGACCTGTTTACACAAGAGTAGCAATGTTGTGGTGCATAGATGAAACGAAACACAAGATTACTGATATTCCATTAAATTCCATTCAGTACTCTTAAGGTTTTCCAGTACTCCTATATTGAAAAAATAAGGAGTACGTACTCCTGATGTTGAAAAATTATCTGGAGTCCTGAACTTATTCTAATCCATCTGACAACTTATTTGAACTTACTCTGGCACAACATGACAGGTTCTTTCAGTACATGGTAAAAATCAATCCTGTAGAAACCCTATCACATATCTCAGCAGTGTTGACACATCATGCAAGGCCTTTACTAAAGAATGTTTCCTATTAAAACATAATCAATAAAACATTACATCTTAGTCTGTCAAAGTGTTTGAATTACCAAAAGGGAGACAACTCTTGTGAAAGCCACAGCACCTACACCAGACCACTAGGTGGCGTATCTCTGTTCCTGACCTGTTGCCTGGGTCTAAATGTCATGTCACAACGGGACCAGATACTCCCTGAGCACTAAACAGACGTGCCACATCACTTGGAAATTCCTTCCTAAGGTCACAGTTCAACTGATGACATCATGACATTAAATCACCAGCCATTTCTTGCAACAAAAGTGATATGTGTGTGTATATTTTTAAAATCTAAGGTATCCATAGGAAAAGTAGTGAATGCCAGGCTTTGCTTACATCACCAAAATAGCCTTAAACTGGTTGATTTTATCATTGTCCATCTTTGTATAAATTCAATGCTTTGATGTCTGTAGACAATTCCATTGTGCTACAAAATCTAGCTATATACTTATTTTACGTGAATGAGCTACGTAAAAGCCGTTTGTTGGCTGTATGAAATAACTGTACTACAGTTAATAATGGCCTACATACTCAAGAATAGAGAGAAAGACAGCACACCAGACAATAGTGGGACTTGAAGGTTGGGGTTGAAGAAGCCAGGGAAGAGGGGAAGAAAAGAAATCACCTAAGAAATGCTTCAAACATCATCCCCATCCAAGGAACAGGAATCTGAATCAAAACACTGTAACTGTTAGGCTACCCCCTAGCTGTTAACAAGCATACCTTCTTGTAATCGCTGTCTAAAGCTGAAGGCGTTGACCGGGAGTACTCGGAGTAGGAGCTGGGCCTGTCCCTGTACCGATCCGTGGGGGTCATGTCCGTGGAGGAACTGTAGCGAGATGAACCATACCGGGATCCTAGTGTCTGCAACACAAACAACAGTCAACATTACACACCATCTTTGCATCATCACAGCATAACACTGATGCTGATCTAACACTACTTTGTGGAACCTCAGTTTTGACTTCCACTTCATTATAATGCTAGCATAAGAAGATGTGTAAGTCTTATATCCATTAAAATTGTCATAGTGAATAAGGCAGTGTTTTAGACCAGTAGGTTTGACTGAATTTGGAAACTTACTATCACCACTGGAACTAGTGATTTAAGGTAAATGTATTGAATGTAATTTACACTAAGGGGTAAGCAGTGGTCGGAAACAAGTTGACCAATGATGAAAGTTGTCATCCTTAAAAGGACTGATGCCTATTAGTGTTGAATGATTATAGCAGCCAACAGCACTGGAGAGAAAATAACATTATCCGGGATTTGCGATGATAACATGCAATTTAAGGATTTGTGATAACATGACTTATTCCAGTAAAGACAGAACTGAAGCTTCCTGCCTTGCACATGCACAAGAGGCTGAGGCAGCAAGATACTATTACTTGCACAACTGATTATGGATGGCAGACAGTGAAGAAGATGTAATTACAAATTAAGATGGATATATCACATGGCTGGATTAAATAAAATGATAGAATAAGATGATTCCTTTGAAAAATCCTCAAACATTCCATTGTTGTAATGTCAGACCTTAGAAAAAAATGGTATCTGTTGTTGTTCAACATTATCCCTTACATGACCTCCCCATGAATGTTCCATCAGCTCCCACTATGGGAGGAATACCATAATTGCTACAAACTAGACTATCAACTTCCTGCACTAAAGTATCACCAATTTACCCCCATCATAAATAAAACCTCATCTTTCTCTGACCTTACCCCTGGCACAAAGGATAAATATGTCTGACAAATCTATTTACCTCCTGGGCCAGTACTTACCCTGTGTACCATACAAAATCAATCCATTATTGTAAGTATTATCTTGTTTACTGCACCCAAAGTACAGGCAATACAAAGGGACAATGTAAATAGTGACCAACAAAGTTTGTTTACCAAAACCTGAGCAGGTTTCAGTAATATGAAAGCTTCATGTGACAGCAGAGAGCTTGTAGCAAGACACTGACATGTCAAAGTTTGGTTTAATCCTTGAAATACTTAATGTGAGTGAGTGAGTGAGTGAGTGTGAGTTTAGTTTCACGCTTTTTTTTAGCAATATTCCAGTAATATCACAGCGGGGGACCAGAAATGGGCTTCACACATTGTACCCATGTGGGGAATCGAACTCGGGTCTTGAGTGTGATAAGCCAATGCTTTACCCACTAGGCTACGCCACTGCCCCTTGAAATACTTAACAAATAAATATTTTTCATAAATCCATTCATAGAACCTATATCTAAAAAGATATTGTTTTTTAAGCAACCTTGAAGTATTCGTGATTTGGTTAAGTGTTTTAATACATAAAATAAAGATACCTAATATCTCCTCGTTTTCGAGTAGAAATTTAGACTTTCTACAGTATTGTACAGTTGTTTGGGACATGAAGACTTGTGTTTCATGGTCTGTGTACCATATTTGAACTTCCACAGTTGTATTGATGTCCCATGGCCAAGAGAGATCCCTTCGACCCTACAAACAGATTGACTGTCCTGTCAAACCCTTATCACCAGCCATGTCATTCCCTGAATCACATGGTGTCTTGGCTTCGCACCAACAAATTCTCACATTTTTTATCATGCCCCTGACATATTTAAAGTGACACTGAGCATGATATAATTGAAAAGCCTGACAGTCTTCGTTATTGTTTGTGACACACGGCGGTTGTAATGATCCGTCCATGCCCTGTTGATGTCATGAACCTAAGTGTGATCAGTGTGTTAGGGTTTGCCCAGGTATAGAAGTAGGTCTACCTCTCTAAGTGTTATGTTCTACACAGCTGAGTGGTGAACAATTTAGGAGACACCTAGTATTCAATACAAGGACAGGACATGACCATGTATTATATTACCTCTTTAAAACCTGGCTAACATTGCGTGACAAGGTTAGGTGTGAGGCTATACATTTACTTATCCTCCACAGACATAAAATTACATGGGGTTCCAGATCTCAATCAGAGTGCTTGATGGAATATTCACAATTTACAAGCACAATATATTTCTTGAACTTCTAACCTTCACAGGGTTTAACATGAAGCTCATTCCTCAAGTTTAGATACACAAACATGGGGTTCCTTTTCCAGCTGATATTTCACAACATGATTTTTCAGTAAATATCTGATTCTCATGACTTGAGTGATCAAAATATTTTTAAATTAATGCACCCAAAAAAATTCCACATACACAAAAATTCTTTGCCAACCAGATTAGATTCCGGTATCATGAGCATGTGTTTGTGAAACACTATCAATGGTACCAGGTGTTAACATATCCTGTCAAGCCTGTGGCATTCATCACAAATGGGCAGCCTTTCACTTGAAATATCCCTTGAATATCATTCTTGTAGGCTTTTTGTTTACTATCAAACCCATACAGACAAGATTGACTAAACCCATACAGACAAGATTGATCAAACCAATACAGATAAGATTGACTAAACCAGTACGGACAAGATTATTTAAACCATACATACTAATGATTAATGAAACCCAAATAGACAAGACAGATCAAACTTATGCAGACAAAACTGATCAAACCTACTGGCAAAATTGATCAAACCTGACCAAACCTACACCAACATTAAGCACTGTAGAAACCAATACAGGAAGATCAATCCAACCCAGACAGACTTATTTCCACCTGTGTGTCTTACACAGGTTACCAGGCATTGAGCTAACAGTTTTCAAAATCAGTGAAATCAAACACGATGGTACTGCCAAGAACATCTCCATTACCAGGCTTCCAAATTCCTCAGTCATGAGTAATGCAACCACAGTACTGACAAGCTGATGCCAAGTTATGAAACAAATACAACATACTGCAATACACCTACAAGCCTGTCTGAGACCAGTCCATGATACACCTTATCACTGGCTGTACCATTGGTTCTGTGTAACACTGCAGATGCAATGCAAGGAGATAGCACAAGAGCACACACTCCAAGCTTTCAGCACTGCCATTTTGACTATAAATTCTGGCATTCCACTTGAATAATTTACCAGTCTCACTAGTGGGCCTTACATGGTGCAACACTAGTCATCCCTGTCTCAACATGTGGGCAACATCTGGACCAACACATCACTGTCAACATATATATGGACAAGAATTGGATATGCCATAATTTCTCTGACAGAACATTCCATGGAAATATATACAGAAAAATTACAGGAAATAAGTAAATCTATTGGAGTATTTGCTTGCCATTGAAATGCTAGATTAGATGATGGACTTTCTCCTTTTGTTATCATTTTGTAAACAAAAAGACCTAGCCAAAGAGTAAATAAATGTAATCACTGCCCTGAACAGTACTCCTGACACCTTTCATAGTTGTATTGATACAACATACAACAAATATCCTATACCAACAATACAAATACAACAAGTAAAAATATGGCATGGTATATAATCATAAAATGATCTGAAAAAATATGACTGACCATGCATATGAATTTTCAAGTTATTGTTGCAACAGGTTAACTTCTAACTTCTCATGCATGACCTACTGACATTGCCAATATCTTTATATACCCAATACATCGTTGTAATAGGCTACACTCAATAAGTTTTAGTCCATGCCTTAAAAGCGTTTTAATCCGTGCAAGCAATATTCCAGCCACATCTGAGAGGACTCACCCAAAATTGGCTTTACCGATTGTACCCATGTTAGGTAACGAGTCAATTCTTGGAAAAATTGTCTAGCTCAGCACCTCAGAAATATTTGTAAGGTGACAAGAAGGCAATGAAGTATTTTTAAGTTTTAAGAAATCCTACAATCAAACACATGTCCATTTTCACCGCATGAGGATATACTAAAACAAACTGGGAAGTGCACTTGGGTTATTGTCAACATGCCAATCATATTTCCCTCAATGGAGCATCTGCTTCTAGACATAACAGTGAAACTGCACTTAAACATTAGGCCATACTTCCAGGTCAGAGAAACTGTACTTTAATGACAGGCCATACTTCTGTATGTTTAGTTTTACGCCACACTCTGCAATATTCCAGCTATAAGGCAGAAGTCTGTAAATAATCGAGTCTGGACAAGACAATCCAGTGATCAACAGCATGAGCATCGATCTGCGCAATGGGGTACCTGATCCCATTAGTCACCTCTTACAACAACCATGGGTTACTTCCAGGTCAGAGAAACTGTCCTTTAATAATAGGCCACACTTCTATGGATATGAAACTGCACTTTACACATTAGGCCCCACTTCCAGGTCAGAGAAACTGTACTTTAATTAGGGCTGCGCAATATAACCGGTTCAGACATGAAAACGATATGTATTGCGATACGCTGATCGAAAACCGGTATTTTGACATGCATTCGGAAAACGTCGTAACACTCGTAAATCTTCGGATATTTCCTTGTTTTGTTCGTGCCAAATATTATTCACATTTTTATTTTATCATGATTAAAATTTGTTATTAAAACTTATCAAGCATAGTGATTTTGTTGTGTTTTTGCTCTATAAATCAAGCAGTAACTCGATTATAAATAGTTTTTTGTTTAAAAATACTTCATGCAAGATATTGCAATGCATATCGTAATACATGCTTTCGTTCATCGCAATATATCGCAATATGAATATTCTCTGCAATGTCCACCCCTAACTTTAATAATAGGCCACACTTCTGGGGATATGAAACTGCACTTTACACATTAGGCCCACATGCTGCCTCTTACATCAACGAGTTTATTGATATGTATGATGGTCTCATGGCGTATTCTGGTGTAGTAGTCATGTTTCAGTACAGAGAGAGTGCATGGAGACAGTCCTAGACCCAAGTAGGGTGTCAATACTGGGACACAAGCAAGAATATATTTGTAGCAAAACAAAATTTCAAAGACATGACACAAACA